GGAACTAATGTCGGCTATCGACCCTCTCCCTCCTCACGGCGATGTCCACTGCATGAAGTGGTACTTTGTGGCGAAACTATGCACGACGTTCACATCCTCGGAATCCTAGCCACGATATCATCTGCCGTGCTGAATGCCCGACATGCAGAGCGAAGGAGCGGGCAACGGTTGCATGCTTGCGTCTTGTTGCTCGTATCTCGTAAAACCTCGCAATGTACAATAGATGTGTAGAAACATGTCACCCCAGCGCAACTCTACTATAACGATATCTATTATTACATCTTGAAAATTGGTACTTGGTACCGTTGGGTCCCATACTCGGTGCCTCCTTTCTGCATCACCGTTCTCTCTGGGTGTCCGCCTTATGCACGGCACCCCGCATACTCCGGTTAAGAAGGGAAAAAGCAGGGCATGCAAGTACCGTGCAGGAAAATCCTGTTTCCACACATAGCTAAGGCATCTTTTTGCGCATGAACGTTTGACAACACTACACTACGCTTGAATATGGTGATGGGGCAAAAATAGTACCATGTCAGCAAATGCGTGTCTCATGAGGTGCTCGCCCAATATGCGGGAAGCAATATGGTTTGCACACATCAAGTTCAATGTATCTGCAGGCTGCAAGCTGATGGGGCACAAGGACCCTGTTCAATCCTTCAATCCAGAAAGACCAGATTCGATACGGGATGCGCCGTTCGAACCTACACACATGCACACACAATCCGTCACCTGCAGTTAGTTGCGGGATTTCGAGTACCAAACCCTAATTGCCACGGCGCCAGCGGCTTGCTTACTTCCCTAGAAACGAACACATCGCTAGCTAAACTAGCTCAACGATCTGAAGACGACATCTTGTCTTTTTGCATCTAAGTTTGGCGCAGGTTTGGTGTAAGTTTAGTTTGCTGACCAGCGACACTCCTAAATTCCGAATTCCGAAGCTAGAAGATGCGCGGGATAGAGCTTCTAGCTGCCGTTCCAAGGTGCTAGGAGCATACTCCGGAGAAAGAAAAAAGGGCCGTACGAGTCTTAAAATGGCGGACTTTTTGGCGTCTTAGGGGTTTCTTGCTTGTGTAGGGGAAAGTGTGGCGGGTGCTTGCGCAATTTCGCTGTTGCTTTTGCGCCTCAGGCTTCCACGCGTCTTCGAGAAGCTGTTTCTCGTAAGCTTGTCTGTGCTTTAGTATGCCAAGCGGCTTTAAGCTCTACTTTGCTTTGTACATCGTCGATTTCGTGAATCTCCTTTCTTGCTGTGTGACCACCTATGCTCCGCTCGGAATCATATTCTTTGTGTCAGATCAGCCCCCAAGAGACGTGAATACGTGTTGACAGTGTTGTGGGCGCACATTTGCAAATTCCGCACGCTATACGAGGTGTTCACATCCCCATACCACGACGATGAGTGTCTCCAATGATAAGATACTGCATGACAATGCGTATTCCAACTGACCTACCGCCGAACCTACTCAGAGTGGCGTGTTGCCCCTGCTGTACAATGTAGCATAGCCGAGCGGCTGCTAGGGGAGGTCGACGATCAAGCTGTGATCGCGATCTCTATCGTAACTCACCACCAGGAGATGTCTCATACATGGGTGATCGTAGTTGAGGCGTATACTGACATGGATTCCCCACGAAAACCGAAAGTGCCGAAAAGAATGGCTCACACAAAGTAAGGCGATGTCGTTGGTGGAGAACCACCAATGGGGATGTATGTTGTTGGATACTGAGCGACAGTAAGGGGTCGATATTTGTTTTTCTAAGTCAGAAGTGTAGAATCTGGATTTGTGATTGATGCGAGGCAACAATCCGTTGGAAGCATGCAAACTCTATGGGATTTTGAGCATCAGTACGAGAGTCAAGCTTTTCAGTCTGGCTCTACTTGCCAGTCATGTTACCCTAACGTCTTTTATCGTATCACTCGGCGTCACAATGATTTCCCGTGAAAGATGCCGAAAATAAAATCAAGTCATTGCCCGAGGTAATGATCAATCCATTTGTCTGGCTCTGATATAGCAAGGACATCCTCCAAGCCGAGCATGTTCGGTGTCCTTGTGTGACTGTTGAGTGTATGATTTGAGTGGGGCCATATGTGCATTAAGCTCGCGTTATGACAGAAGCGACATTTGAACACAGACGTTTTTTGCTTGGAATCGCGAAATGCCCAAATTGCTCAAGGTGTACGTCGGAGATGATGGTAATGAAGATCCGCAGTAGCAATACGGTCGCGATTACTACAATGAGGTGCCGTGTATGTTCCACTCGTATCTCGGTTACGGTACAACTCGCGGCGGGTTTGGTCATGGAATGACTCGAAAAGACAAGTCAATGGGTTCGGCGCAATATCGCAAGGCTATGACGGACAGTCTCCGTATGATGTTTGATCGGAGACAGGCCTTGTGTTTTCCTTGGTGATCAAGCGCCGCGTGCCGACACCCGCGCCTTAGATGATGGAGTGGCGCGCTCTCGAAACAATCGAAACCGGCACACGTTCACCAAAACAAACACACAAGTTGTCGATTTGACCCAGCAATCCTAACGAAGGATTCAATGTTCGTATGCACGTCGATGTGAATTGATGTAAATCCATCTACTTTGGATCAACTAGTGCTGTTGCGCGAGGTGACCTAGCCGTCATGGACCAGCTGTTGCTGCATGGTGGGCATCGTTCGTTGCCTGCGAACCGACCGAATGTGACCAGACGCAGTCCCCACTCAGAACAGTTAAGAGCCACACTAGGATAAGCCAAGACGACCCCTTTCAGGAAAGGCGGTCCAAGCAAAAGTCTGAGCAGCAAGATGAACCGCACACAAAAGTTGCTTTTGATAAGGAACAGGAAAGAACGTAACCGCATGTGGTGCAAAATCGGATGATAATGACTCTGTGAAAAAGTTGGTGGCCCTCATGCAGCAATTCCTTGCTGACGCTGGCCCGTTCACTGCATCGCTTGGCGTGAAGCCGGAAAGCACTTGCATGCGAGCGGAGCGGGAAGCCGAAATTGAGTAGTGTGGTGTACCCAGTCATAGTTACATGCATATTGACGTGATGAAGCTTTGTCGTTGAAGACAGCAACGTCGCTATCATCTCGACCAGATGTCAAAGACGGTGGGCACATATGTCTTTGCATGATGTTTCGTGGGGGTCTAACGCTCGGCTACGGCATGTGATGACCAGCCACCGCACGGATAGTAGACTGAAACGGCATACCAGACTCGGGAGAAAGAGGCAGATGCGGATTGACGCAAGTCGTATCCAGAAGTTGGAACTCTAGAGCTGCCCACGGCAGACAGCGATCGCAGGCAGAAGGCGCAAGGCGAGTCTTTCAGATTCGCGCTCGTGATCGCGTCGGCGTCGGCGTCGGCATGGCAGAAGCAAGTCAACACGCAGTTCGCGTCTAGGAATGGAAGAGCTAGGCATGCACGAGTATAGTGCAAAGTTTAAAGATGGAGAGACAGCGTCGAGGGCCCACGGGCAGCTTGGACCTCTCTTGATCCCACGCAACCGTCGAGGGTAGTTGGCAAGTGAATATGTAGCGAATGAGTTAGTAACAGTGCGGTATTGACACGAGGCACGTTCGCCATACGAGACTCTGCTATGTTTTCCTCACACTAACCGAATTTTTTTGGGCAGCTGTGGCATACGCTTAAGCGACGGATGACGGCTATAAGCCTATAAGACTAGACCTCGCCTATAACTGCTGCGTGGGACATGGTGGCTCTATTTGCCCGACTCTCTTTGGGATGACGGTGGAAGTGATCGGAGGGGAACGACGGCTAGACGTGATCGTCTTCGTCTCGAGTGTTCGCTAGGAGGGCGCCCAAACCTGAGTGTCAACAGGGGAAGCAGTGTCGGTGGAATATGCCGTTTTTCTCACGATATTTGGCCGCTCGTATGAGCTGAAGGTTGAGTGCTAGTAGTGGAGCAGATGCTCATACCAGTGTTAAAGGGTCGCACCAACGCATGCGATAAGCTTTGAGCGTCATCGTCTAGAAAAGCTCGTAGTATTTACGACTCGCGGCTGCTGTTGCTGCTGTGCCGTGATGACCCTGTTTCCGGCCCAGGGTTGCCACGAGGCCGCTTCCGCAACCAATGACTAACCCCTGCTAGTTCTAAACGTTCGCTTCGCACCTGCCTTGTTCCTGAGGCGCACCTTCCTCGCTCCTGCCCCGAACTCACCAACGTTCTCGCGGCATGGCGGAGAGGCGCGCACCGTCTGCACAACCTCACCGAACTACCATCGAGTCGATTGCACTACGACAGCACAGGGCACATGTTTTCTTCTCAACAACACGTCCTTCACAAGCGCGCATCACCTCCTCACCAGTAGCCAGGGCCATTATTCAATCGCCAGCGGCCCTCTGCTGCCTCTCCCTGCTGCCCACCTGGTGGGCCGGCTTTCCTACCGCTTTGGTGCAAATCACCGGCATTGATAAACCACCTGGCAATTGAGCAGCCGGTCCGTAAGAGTAACGATAGATGATGATGGCCGATATGCTGCATCAGGTCCGCTTTACATTGCGCTAGACGCGAGCACCTGATGCTTCACACCAGCTCTGCTACTCGCCTCCGCACTATCCTGCAGATCGACATGTTGCAACCAAAAGGCACCATCCGTCACGACCATGCGCTGTGCTCGATGCTAAGGGTGGTGCCGCTGCGCACATCGTGCAGATCACCCTAGGCATTAATTGCGTGACGATATAGCCTACCCCACGAATCGCCAGACATGCGAGGTTAGGCCCGCGTTTCATCCAGCTCCCACCAACCCCATCTAGGACGCGCCCCGACAGCCTAGATAGTTTTGCTGTTATTGGTACTTTGCCTTTGCAGGGGCTCTCCTCGTTGCTGCAGGTATCAACACTAGTGCCTGTGAGCCACACTTAACCCGCTGCAGTGTCTTTTTTACCACATACATGCAGGGAAAGCCTTCATGTTTGACGTGCCCGCCTCCCGAGTCTCACCAACCTTGTACTTCAGACAGTGAGCCACGGCAACCTCAAACGTCCGTCATGGCACACATTGCCAATTGCATGCGCTCTGATTCCGACAAGTCTTCTGTTTATATAACTCTAGAAACGTCCTCCAGGATGGTAAGCCACCCAGCTCCACTCTCCATTGCAATGAACTATCATTTGCCCCGACGTTCACGCTCACTCAGAGATATTCAGGCTGCCAGAGATTCCCAATCGCCAAGTGCTTCTTCCCACACCAAGAGTCCTTCGCTAGCAGCCCTACATCAGCCTGCTGCATCCAAGTACCAACTCTGGCCTTCTGCAAAAAGCCCAGTAGGACTATCTAAGCCAAACCAATCTTCGGACAAGTTTGCCGCCCTTTCTGCTGGCCGATCTTCTACATCTCTTAGTGATACAGCCGTGCTGCCAGAGAGCAGTCTACCCTTTTGGCAGCGAACTGGATCCTTGTCAAGAAGAAGAAAAGTCAGTGTGCCCGAGCTTGGAAGCACTATGACTACTGTACAAGAGATGTCCATCGACTCCCGTAAGTTTCTCCTCAAATTCCACAATGTTCGAACGATTGCTTACAATGTCATCAGCGACCATCCCTGGGAGGCCACCCCTTCGTAAGCTCTCATACGAAGCTTTTGGCCATGAGAGATCATGTAGTGCTCCGGGTACCAACTGGAGGACCGGACCTTTTGGGGATGCAATGATGGCTTGCGTAACAGGTCCTTCTCACGTTCCAGCTCAAATCATCAACGCCCCTCCTTCTGATTTACCCAACGCTTCCGGAAGACCACTTTCTCCTATCCTTAGTCCTGGTGCAACACCCAGACCCTACCTCAAGGTCCAGACCGCCAGCATGGATGAAGAAACTCGTCCACAAGTACCACCTAAATCACCCGCTGTCGAGCGTAAAACTTCACCAGCCCCGCTGATCCTCAACTCGAAGACAAGTCGGCCACAGATGACAACGCCCGCCTCGACGACTTCGGGAGGTAACACACCATTGAGTGCGATGGACCTTCGAAGATCGCCCAATGGTAGTATCCCACTACCTACTCCACCGTCGACTTTTACCAATCCTTTCTATGCATCCTCACCTGCATCCAACAGAGGCTCGCCACGCACTGAGAGGAGAGATCCTATCGCAACACAATCGTTAGCTCACAACCGAAACATGTCAGAGTCGTCGATCATGGAAAGAGGCCGACCTAAACGACGCAACAGCAAGAGAGAACGCAGCAGGACTGTATCCGAGGCCGACGGTGCAGAAGCTATCCCAGACTCTTGGAAGCTGCCCGAAGGCATGCGCGTATCAGAGGCTGCGAGACGAATGAGTGATGCCGACAAGAAGCTTCTCCACAAACAGGCATATGATCAGGCTGGCAATTTTGAGGTTCTTCACAAACGTGATGTAGCATCACTATCAAGAGTAAGCTCTTTACATCCTTGTCAAATCGACTAAAGCTGACATCGCCACAGGAACTCAGAGCTCTCGACGAGCGCTGCGATTACCTCCGAAAGACCTACAAGTCTTTGCGAGCGGGTCGCCAAAAGCTGCACGGTCGTATGATCGCTTATCTCAGGCGTGGAGAAACAGTCATCTTTTCACGCGAATCACTCCTCAAACAAGAAGAGGCCCTAGCCGAGCTGGACATTTCGATCGACGAGTTCATCCTGAAACTTGAGCAGGCCGAAAATCGCCGCTTGCGACTCCGGCAAAAGTTACTTGAGCATGTCGCTGCTGCTATCGTGCTCAACCCTAGCGCTCGGGACCAGGTAGCCGAAACTACACCACCACGGAGTCCTGTAAAGGCCGATAGCCCTTCTCGACATCAACGAAAAGAGACCGAGTCAATCAAAATTTACGCCGATGGCCACGTTCTAAATCTCTTCTCTGACATCGAGAAGGCCATCGGCAAGATGTGCGAACAGACATGCTAAGGGCTTCTTGAGAAACACATCTTCTATTCCACCAACTTCGATACCCTCTTCCTTGCCTTTGACGGCCTATCATTAATTTCTACCTCTGGACATCTCACGACTTCATTTATTTGTACCATAACGACCTGAGCACACGCTCCTCTTACCGCTATCTCTTCTATCTTTCTGGACTGGCTCGACTTGACGTTTGTGTACACAAAGAAACGATTGCATCATCGACATTCTGCTTTATCGTATACGTTGGCATCTATACCCAAGCTTTTGCCCATCCTTTCAGTTTTTTTCCAAGTATTCTTTTGCACATCAATACTTTCTTACATCACGATTTCAAAAATGGCGATGACCATGCCGGGGTGGCGTTTCACGTTTGAGCTTTGACAAGGGCAGGACGCTGTTGTGGCGTACCATGTATGTATCTAGATACCACCTGCAGGGGTGGATGAATCAAGAATGACATCTCAAGTCAAACGTTCCAGTCTTCTTCCAGTATTTTTTGTGGCACTGATCCTGCCCAGAACCAGACTCAAGACATCGTCATGCCTCGAGCACACGGCTTGAACCTGGTACGAGATATCACACTGACGACCCTGGTAGGTACGGCGCCCAGCTTCCTTCTTCTGGATAGGCCTGCGACAGCAACTGTCACGAGGATAGTAAGTAATTTGCCCATAGGTACAGCGGAGCAAGCGGTACTTTGCGCGACAGGAATTGTGTATTCTAGAGCTCAAATTGTTTCATCGAACTACGTACCGCACGTGGCCAGGCTGGAGCCCTTGTGATAACATGGCCATTATAGTCTGTTTCAATGGGGGCATCGCAACGCCTTGAAAGGTGCCCAATGAAACGGAAATACGGTGGGGCAAGAACATGAGAGGGTACTTTGCGCAGAGTCTCGTTTCTATAGGTTACAAGGGGTCTATACGTGCTACGCAAGGCTGCACGCACATCCGCGCAGCAATCATGTCAATTTTCTTGATCCCACCCTTGTTTGATTGAACCAGCTTTTGCAGGTTTGGCGAGAAACATGGCAGCAAGAACTGAGGACCCGTCCGGAGATAGAGGACACGCCTAGAACACCCCGCGAGCTGGACACGGATCTCGGCCGCCGTCAAGTTTCAGAAGGCGACTAAATGACTGTTGGGTACATCCCAACACACGGCACGCATCGAGTATCCAACCTGAAAGACCAGATGTATATTTGCCGTTTAGCAGAGATGAGCTCTCTTTGAAGGCGCGAAAGTGGATTGTGGTCGAGATGCCGCAGATAAGTGTAATCGGTGGGGTCGGCTTGCTCTGCCGCGGTATGACTATCCAGAGTCTTTGTGCCGGCGCCACCTTTCTCCGATCCTTCTCCGCACGGGCCGTTGTCCGCGTTTTTGCGCGAAAAAGTTCACTCTTTGGGCGACGACGTGACGAGTTTCAGAAATCGACATATTTCCCGCCATTACTCTCGCCACCATGGCTACCAACAGCATCAAGTTACTGACCGGCAATAGCTATCCTGAGCTCGCAGCTCTAGTAGCTGATCGGTACGTTCAAGTTCTTACCTCTTGACGCTCTTCGAGGCTACGACTTGGCATGCACATGCCCAACGGTTGTTACGCCTTCATCACTACCACCACGCAACAGATATAGCTATCACTAGGCTTGTAAAGCTATAGAGCACATTTTTAGACGACCATATCATTTTTCCTTTTTCGAGAGTTAAAACAGGGTGCTCGACTGTCGCGCACCTGCTCGAGCAAGATCGCTAACGGAATCACAGACTTGGAATCGAGCTCACCAAGATCCTCGTGCTTCAATACTCGAACCAGGAGACTTCCGTGACTATCGGAGAGTCGGTCCGAGACGAAGATGGTATGCATCATCTTTCTCTGGGAGCGAGCACCAATGTGTCCGGCTTTCCTCAGCTTACCACAACGCAGTCTTCATCCTACAATCTACGCCACCAGGCGATATCAACGATGCGCTCATGGAGCTGCTGATCATGATTAATGCGTGCAAAACGGCTTCTGCTCGCCGCATTACTGCTGTGATTCCAAACTTCCCTTATGCTCGCCAGGATAAAAAGGACAAGTCACGCGCGCCTATCACGGCAAAACTCATGGCAAACATGCTTCAAACTGCTGGTTGCAACCATGTCATCACGATGGACCTCCACGCCAGCCAGATTCAGGGCTTCTTCAATGTGCCTGTAGACAACCTCTACGCAGAACCGAGTACGCTCAGATGGATTCGTGAGAATCTGGACGTCAAGGACTGTGTTATTGTCAGCCCAGATGCAGGAGGTGCAAAGAGGTAAGATCACGCCACATACGTTCGCCAAACACTGGTTTGACTATCTGGTGCCGAGTGCGAGAGTGCGCAACCATGCAACGGTGCAAACTCAAGACCCTGAAGCGTTCCCTTGTGCCATGTTGGAGCGTCGGACTGCTCTCCGCACCACGGCTTCGAGAAGGTACTAGTGCTAATGCATTTTCAGGGCAACTTCGATAGCCGATGGCTTGAACCTTGGCTTTGCCCTCATTCACAAGGAGCGAACACGCCCGAATGAGGTTTCGCGAATGGTTCTGGTCGGAGATGTACGAGGCAAGACAGCCATCCTGGTCGACGACATGGCCGACACATGCGGAACGCTCGTTAAGGCGGCGGACGTGCTGATCTCCGAGGGTGCAAAGGATGCGCTCGCAATTGTCACACACGGCATCCTGAGTGGCAACGCCATCGAAGCTCTCAACGGCAGTAAACTCAAGAAGATCGTTGTCACCAATACCGTACCTCATGAGGATAAGAAGGAGCTGTGCGATCGTATCGAGACGATTGACATCAGTCCTACTGTACGTAACTCATGCCTTCGAAGATTGCCGCTCTAACAACAAACAGCTTGCCGAGGCCTGCAGGCGTACCCACAATGGCGAGAGTGTTAGTTTCCTCTTCAAGCACGCGCCTGTCGACTAAGGAAGACGCTACCGTTCTACCAACGGCAGCCCTTTAGCATATGAATTAACGGCGTCACGGGCGGTATAGGCGTTAGGATCAACATCACGATATGAACTATTCTTCACACGACAGACATCATGAGTCTATGAAGATCTGCAGATCGCCTTTCAGATCACGCAACTAGTAGTGAAGCCACTGCTGCAGCACGTGGCGTCGCACTAAGTGCATAAATTAAATTGCACGTTTCTATAACATCCTCTTCCCGCTAAAACGCATGGCAGGTGCGTTTAAACTAAATCCGCTGTCAGCCGGGTTTGACATGTTGGCGCCAAAGGACGCCATGGTGAGGCACTTGTCTAGTCCGTCACGTTGCGTGATGCGAGCTACTAGGTTAGTCTGCTTTTAGCCCGGAGCAGTTCAAACTTTATGTCATCGTCAAACTACATACTACCATCCGCAAGGAGGTTTCACGGCTTACAGGATCTCTGTGATCAGTACCCTGCATGTTGAGTACGAATGATTGATCGCCGCTAAATATCGCTTGCGGACGTCTAGTGGCACCATGCATACGCGACGTATTGGTCTGCATGGTGATAGTCACAGCATGCAGCCACAGTCAGCGCCCGCGAACTGACATCAAACGATGATCGACGAACTCGCGTAGGTGGGCATTCAGGGCTAGTGTTCTCCGACAAGTTTGCTCGCCTCCGCTACCTCCAGACGCTCCACATATCACAACGAGCATGCCCGGACGGAGATCGTGCAATCAAGACTCGGCGGACTCCGTGAGCTCCACTTTCCACTACTCAGCGGTTTCCGTTCCCATAACTCGAGTCACATCATGAGTAATCACACTAGACTTTTCCGAGTCAAGATGCTTTTATTCCCTGAAGATCTTCTGCGACTGCCGGTGCTATTCAGAGACCTCAAACCATCTTGGAGATCACGATTTCCACTTGAACCATTTTGATCTTCCGCTCCGACCCGATGCGTGACTAAGTTTATCTTGTGGGTTGACCGGAAAGGCGATCTGGGGACTTCCGAGAAAGATGGGCTTTTAAACTTTCAGGTTTCACGATGTCGGCCTTCATTGGCGCCGCATGTGCCGATGCCGAAGTTCAGCCACTGCGGTAGCATGTCTAGTGTGTGGCTGAAGAACTACGTGTAACCTGGGAAGCCACCGCTGCTTGTCTAGAACAGGACAGATCCGAGCGATGCGGTGAAGTATGAGTTAGCTCGTAGCTATAAGTCTGCAAGCGGTTGCAGAAGTAGACGACCGAGTTGTGCAACTATACTAAGCACACGATTATGGATCGTGATCAACATGTGAGTCTGAGAGAATTTTGTTCAATACGACATGAACGAGGAAACGAAAATTTTGCCCATGAGCAGGAAATCGACCCATCTATACGCACTTTTACTCAGTCGATTGGCTCCTGCACTTTATGCGATGCTTGCTTTCCAATTCACTATTTTCATACACATGCTTTCAGCTGAAGCTAATGTTTATGTCTAAAACCCCCAAGCGCACCCCTCTGTATCCACAAAGGGAACTGCACGCCGCGCAGTCAAATAAGCTACAGTAATCCACTCCTCCATACATGTCCGGGAAAGTTTTCGGCACCCCGAGCTGCCTCATAGATTTACATAGTCCGAGTCGTTGCATCATGTATTGTACCGTATGCATACAAACAAGTAAGCAGGCTTCAAAGGTCCAATGACCGAGCAAAGCATTAGGGTCCCAAATCAGCCATCGCTCGAGCGAAAATGAGCGTCAGAAGAAAGCTTCAGTGCAACGATCGTATGCACATAACCCCCGGCCCCCCATGTCTCGTATCAAACATCACTCCTTGCAAATGGTAAAACCCCACGTCCAGAAACCAAAAGCATAAAACCCTCCTCCCAGCGGTCCGAAAACAAACCCTATGTTGCGCAATTCAGCTGTACGACACATCCCGCTCCACCGGGTAAAAAGGCCTCGTTACGAGTAACATCTCAAAATACTGGAAACTGGGCAAGGGTTCATGTACTGTGATACAAACAGCCTTGCGGTCCGAAAAGGTGAACTCTATCATGCGATTTGGACCCTGAGGCAAGATTCGGGTCTAGTCTAGATCTATATCAGATAACGGCCCGAATAGGCAAAGTTTATGGAGAGGCTGGGAAGGTGACGCGCTTTTGGGGGCGTGCGGAGCACAGGTCGTGATTTGCAAATACTAAGCGAATGGGTGGGGGTTCAAAGTCGGTGTGGTTTGATGTACGCCCAGAGCGTGCGACGCGGGAAGGTGAGGTAGTATCGCCAGTGGCTTGGCAGCTGATGTAGGATTTATCTTTGTGAAAAGTCTGGTTATCGGAAGCTCAGGATTTGGATAGTTGGCGTGGTATTCTTTCCAGACATGTATGGTGCATAGACACTAGGATGATGGTCGGGTGAATGGTCAAACTATAGGTATTGGTGAGAAGCTATACGTCGAACCCACAGTGTTTGCCAGAAGTTGTAGTAACGTCACGCTTTACAGATACGTGACCTTTTCTAGGGTTTGCATCTGTGAGCTATTTCGCGCTGCAAACATGCACCAATCTGTGCGATCTGTCTCGTCCATTCAGTGATAGGAGCGGCATGCGTCTAGACGAGCAATTCGTCGTTGGTCTACCTACACCATTTTCTTTATCTATTCACAGGTATGGGAAGAGGTAACTTGAGCTTCATTTGAAAAGTCTCAAACAACTTCTGGTCGTATGCAGTGGATACAAAATATCTAGGCATACATTGTGGCCATCATCATACAGTACTAATCAACAGCATTTTGTTCATATCGCAACACTAGCAGGTTGATCATAGCAATCAAGCAACGATGTATGTAATAGTCATAAGAGATTTACATTCGCTCACAGTCCTCAAGCAGCTATGTTTTCAAAGCACTGCGCTATTCTTACTCAACTCTTGTCCGCCTCTCACCAACCTAGCTCACCAGCAAGAGCTTTAGCCAAAATTTCCGCCATCGCGGCATGTGTCGCCGCATTAGGATGATAGTCACAGCCAACATCTGAACCTTGACTCGGAATATCCACTAGGCTAACGCTCGTGCTGTTTTGGAGTTGCGCGATAGCAGCATTCAGCGCGTTCTTCTGTGTAGTCTTCTGCGCATCTTGAGTGGAGGGATATCCGTCGTTGAGCATAGGCGAAGTCAGAAGGAAAAATGCAGCGTCTGGGTAGTGTTTCTGAATTGTCTTGACAAAGTTTACCATAGCGGCGGTGTACTCTGCTGGGACGATGGGATCCCGGATGCCAGTTTGGTAACCAAAGTCGTTGGTGCCGAGATTGATAACCACGGCGTCTGGTGTGGCGTTGGCGGGGAATGTGTAGCTATTCAAGGGGTCGAGAGCCCCGTACCGGGTCCAGCGCTGAGGCATAATGTCGCTGGTGTCTGGGGTTGGAGAGACGTAGTTCCTCGTCAGGCCGATGCCGCTCCAAGCGATAATGTCGTAGTCGGCATTCAACGCATCCGCGGCGAGGGCAGCATAGGTCTTGGGGTTGTTTTCAACTGCGGCGGTGTTCACGCATGGGTTCACGCCGTCAAGGCCATATCCCACAGTAATAGAGTCGCCGATGACCTGGATCTTGCGAGGGGAGTACATGTCCGGACCGAATGTGCCATCCGTGGTGATGTTACCAACAGAGATGGTGCCGAAGAGAGCCTCAGATCGTTTACGCAATTCGACGGTGTGGTTGCCGTTCCGGAGGCCAGCGGGTGTTGTGATGGAGGTACCATTTACGTCCGAGATGACAGTCGCCACACCGTCGATGGTCAGCTGAGCACTGTTGGTACCAGTTGTAGCTTCGATTTCTATACTAGCCGATGAGCCTGTGAAAGTGAAGGATACGCCGGTTCCAGGCCATGTCAGTTCTCGAGTATCCGGATTAACGCGTCCGAGAAATCTTTCGGCAGTGACATGGTCGATAGCAGCCAGTAGTACAAACGGAGAGATGATGAGCTTCATGACGATGGATGGCGAACGAGTGCGCAGTGCATCACGGAAATGCATCTATGGGCATATAAATACTATATAGCATTGTGGTTGAGCCTCCAATCTAACACGGAAGACGGTTCCTAGCTTCGTGCGGGTAGGAGTCAGTTCCGAAGCGACCTGGATCGTGGGTTCGGCATATATTACGTGCTGTATGGGAAAACCGGGGTAAGCTCTCAGCGAAGATCTTGTTCTTTCTACAGCCGCAATAATACGCCATGTGGCAACACTATGATTGGCTAAGCAATACCTGTATGATGTAGTGCATGACACTAGAAGAATGCGTAGCTATAAACATTAAAACAATGCGGGGATATAGTGGTGAACGTATGGCAAGAAGAAGATTGTAATGACGATCGCGGACGAACTGACTGGTACACTAAGCTTGAACGGGAGTGGTGCGGGAGACATAATTTCCACGAACGAAGGCTGCTCTCATCCATCTGTCCGAAGACACGACTCACAAATATGAAGACTAGGATATTGAGACAGCATGGGTGATGCAGGATCATAAGAGACGTCAAGACGGGTTGGGGATGGAACCTAATTGTGGAAGTAGAGACTTGAACAGTGAGTATGGTTTCTAGAAGATGTGCGATGACGAATGAGATGGGCGGTCTCGACGACGCTTCCCTTGATCTATTCTGCTAGAACATGATAATTGAGTACAATAATAGTGACAAGTCCTCTCCGTGGTATCATTCGCGCTCCATTGACGCAGTGCAAACAAGGCGCTGTAACGCTGACAAGGCGCCGCCGCAATGCATCGAGTCTAATTGCACTAAACTTTTGTGATGGTCTAATAAAGCGCAGGAATCGAAGAGATGTGAGATAAGATGGAGATAGAGGGCGAGCGTACTATGACGCCGTCGGCCTTTCTGGTATTTCATGTCGTTCGGGTTCGTATGTCGTCTCTCCTAAGGATTCCGTAGGTCCAGAGACAGAAGGTGCTGATGGAGCAGCAGCACTTGGGCCTCGAGATGCCGCTGCGTTCAATCGCGCATTCAGTGCTTCCAGAGCCAGAGCACGTCTCCTCTCTGCTTCTACACGGGTTGATCCACCGCGACCCCCCCTGCTGTTGGGGTTCATGATGCTTGGGAGACCTCCTTCGGCACGGGCGCTTGCCTGTTCGTTGCCCGCATCGATGTCTCGATCTGAGAAGGGCGTGCACACTTTGAGCGATACCAGTGCGTTGTAGATGCCGTCGGAAAGAGCGCCAACGGGTGTTTGTATGGGTTCCGGGAAAAAGTGAGCAAAGGAGAAGGTGTCTGAGGCGTCGCCGCGGATGACGGATCCGTCGCCGGTTGCCGTGGACGATAGTGATGGGCTTATGCGGTAGAAGCGAAGGTAGATCCAGGCAGTGAAGAAGCCGAAGTATGCCAGAAACATAGCCGTCTCAGTACCCAGTATCATGCCAGAGATTGTGTTGGCGAGGAGAAAGATGGCGGGGAAGTGCTTGACGCGCATGCGGATGAGGCCTTTGGCGATGGCAACGGTGTGTTCGGGGACGAGCTGCTTGAAGGAAACGAGGAAACCAGCTTGGATGGCAATGCCGCCGGAGATTGTGGTATGTCTGGACGGCGTCAGTACAGAGTACAGGGAGGGGTATTGTCTACTCACAAGATGGAACCTTTGCTCGTGAGGAGGAAGCCAACCATGTAGAGCAAGTATGTGAGGAGGTTGGGTATCATGGCGACGAAGAGCATGAACTTGGTGAACTCGTGTGACGCCCATGCTCTTTCCAAATAGCGTCCGCCGTAGAAGACGGTGAGTGCGGTGGTGATGAGACCCAGGACATTCTGCTCCACGACCGTCGCCAATGCAAACACCCATGGATACCAAGGCACCGAATAACCAGGGACTATGGTGAGCCACGGCACGCCATTGCCCACGCCAATGATTGGCTTCTCGACCTTTTCCACCCAGTCTGCGTGCGGACGCAGTGCGAAGTTTACGAGGGTAAAGAATACGACGGCAGCGAGCACGCCCCGAGTCAGCGGGGGCAGGTTGATCCGGGCCATGGCGGGAGGCGAGAGGGCAGCCGGGAGGTGAGAGGGCAGCCGGGAGAGGAGGAGAGATTCCAGACGGGTGCTGAAGTGGAGAGGGTGAAGGAAGGCAGCGGGCAGGGATCAGCAACGCTCGGACGGAGATCTGTGGGGACTAGCTCGAGTGCACGGTGCTCGAGCGCTGAGTAGTTGCAGTTCGCAGGGCAGGTAGCCTTCGATTCTCCAACAAGCTTCGAGACCACGACGGCCACGGATCGCGCAACCAAGACGCCGCGAATTCCAGCCTACACACCCTCTTCTCTCCACGGGCGCATGCAGCGCGTACAGGATGCGCCATGGCGGAGACTCTGAGCAGCAACGCGATGAACTATCTCGGTACCCTTTCCCCCCCCCCTCCCATTCGACGACTCGATTGGCCTGGCCCCTCTGACTTGTGTGCGTGTGTGTGCAGTATGGCGATATCTCCAGGAGGCTGGCTTCGGTAACGCAGCCCTGCAACTCTCGCGATGCTGGATCCGCGACCCCGACACGCTTCCCTTTGCGAAGAACATCGAACCGCACACACTCATCAGGCTCGTGCAGGATGGCATGTGCTTCGACCAGCTACAGGCCGAGGCCTGCAATGTACGTCGCACGCATGCGCTGCAGAGAGCAGTACTGACGGCCGCAGACGGAGCCGCGATACAGGTTCGGCACCGACCACGGACGACCATATTCGGCGCGCAATGGCAACCTCTTGACCCTCGACAAGGGCATACCCGCCCACCAACTCGCCGCCGAAGCCAACGGCGCCGTCCAGGAACCCCCACCAAAGAAGACGCTCAAGCGCAAGAAGACGAAGCCCACCAACGGCGTCGAGCCGCGCCCCGAGCCCCACGTCAACGGCGATGCCATGGACATGGAGCACAACGGCGCCGCACATGTCACAAACAGCACGAGGGCCGAGTCGGAGCCCATGGTCTCGGAAGCAGAGTCGCCCTCGCTTGCTGACATCCCCATATCCACGCTTAGCATAGGCCAGGACGCTGAGATCCAGACCGAAGCCATTGCCATTGCTGATCTGAATCCCACCACCGTCTCCATTCCCCCGCCCTCGGATCCCGCACGGGTAATCGAGCATACCCTGTGGGGGCCAATAGAGTCTCCCGTACTACTCGCAGCTGGCAAATCCCTCCTCCAGCTTCACGTCGTGAGCAAGGAGCTCGGCCAAGAACCCCCTACCCAACATTTCGACATACCTCTGCCCGTCGACAACTTCAACGTCACGGCGCTGTGCTGGCACTCGGACAACGAACTTACCGTCTCCGTGCGAGAGCAGAGATCCAATGAAGTGGGCGAAAAGATGATGATGGACAAGCTCATCAAGCTTACCGAAGGCGGCCAGGCCTCCCAGGTCGTCTCTTCTACCGCCGGCCTCATCAATACGCTTCGCTGGAATCCGGTCCGGAATTTGCTGCTATCCATTTCGACAGACGGCGAAAAGGGCTCCATCAAGGTGTGGAAAAACGACAGCGACTCCATCCCAGCCTGGACAGAGTTCACCGATACAGCCATCTTCGACGCGCACTGGATAAGCGACTCAGCTTTTGTCGTTTGCGGTATCAAGCTCTTCAAAATCTACGAGGTCAATGAATCCTTGACAACCCAGCAAACTCTTGAGACCTCAGTAACATGGGAGACGGTAAAATATGACGCTGCATCTGGCATCATCGCCGTCTTGGGCATTGAGGATAGGAAGTATTATCTTGGCTTTCTCCACCCCAATGATTCGCTGCAACTGCAAACCCATGAATATCCCGACGAATACCCTACCGATCTTGGCTTCCGCGTCAAAGCAAAGAACAACCATCTCACCAATGGCTCCACTCTGCCCTCCGTCTTGCTTGCAACAAGCTCCATGTCTGGTGCAACGCGCATCTGGAATGCCGACGAACCATTCAAATGCGTCAAATATCTGCCTACCACAGATGGCACACAAGCTTTCAAAACTGCATTTTCCCCAGACGGTTCGCTCTTAGCAGCTGCGGGACCTGATGCTGTCACCATATGGGATATAGAAAAAAGAGATGTCCCAATTGCCTCATGGCGCGCCAGTGAAACTCCAAGCGACAAATGGAATCCTGGTATAGACGGAGAGTTCAGTCTTGGTTGGGAGCCAGACAGCTCCAGGCTATCCATTGCACTCGGAAATCAGGTATGACTATCCAGCTCAAGAAATACTCATCTACTGACCTCGACACAGATTGCCATCATCACGGTTCCAAGGTAGTGCCAGGGGTCGTCCTTCGAACGGAATCACTTCGTTGTGCAGCGCGTCGCAAAACATTGTGGGCCCTCACAGGGTCGCAGCGGCATCGTGCAGGAAGAAGGAAAAACATGTCGGGTCGATTGCGCAGGCAATTGCGGGGGCATTCCGCGCATGCAAGATCGCAAAGAGCGCGAGGCGGGACGCATGTGGAGTCCGGGGTGGCGCCTCCGTCAGATGCGGAGACCTTCGCGCCCTGATAGGCTAAATCTTTCAGTCAAGTCGTCTACCGTGTGTTGAACCCGGCCTTTAGCCTGGTCCACATCTTGATGTCTCGCTAGCGATGGGCCCATTGCTTCGGCAATTGCACCTCACGGCCAACCTTGACGATGGGCGAGGGGCATAGTCAGCGGCGTCCGTAACTATGACGGTTCGCTGTCGCCCTTATGCGACCGATGTCTTCTAATCCTTTCTCTGTCCTACTGTATACTACCCACGTCGGAGAGTGTAGCCTCTAAATAAACCTTAAGCATTGGATAGGTGTCGTGCGACAGATCTTGCTGTGCAACTCTCTCTTTCCTATTGACCATGTCGGCTATTCCTAATCTTCCTATCGACACGCCCGGCATCCACACCAACGGCGGTGCGAATGGTGTTGCTGCAGACTTGTCTTTCAAGCTCAATGATGCGCCGGTAGAGAATCTTCGACGTTTGAAAGTTGTCGTCATTGGGGCCGGCTATTCTGGTATCTACTGCGGGATCCGTATACCAGAAAGACTGAGAAATGTCGACCTGGTAATCTATGAAAAGAACGCTGGCGTTGGGGGGACTTGGTACGAAAACAGGTAAGAAACACCCATCTCACGACTCTTGGTGCGCTAGTATCACGACTATATCAGCCATGTCAGTATTGGTTTCGGGTGATCCTGTTGTAGATACATCGCTTGGTCTTTGGTTGTCTTCATTCTGCACAGTGCTTACTGACCTGATTGCAGATACCTTGGTTGCGCGTGCGACGTCCCTTGTAAGTATCGGGTCCCACATTTACCAAGACGTACGCTGCTGACTACCCCTAGCACACTCTTACCAGTATTCGTTCCAGCCGAACCCAAACTGGTCGTCGCTTTACGCCCCGGCAGCGGAAATCCAGTCGTACCTCCAAGATGTCGCGCAGAAATTTTCCGCGGACAGGTTTATCAAGTTGCGTCACCAGATTGAGGCGTGCCACTGGGATGACAAAACTGCGAAGTGGAACATCACGGTAAAGAACCTTGCCACAGGAGAAGTGCTGGAAGATCAGGCGGACGTTATTATCTCAGGGAGAGGTAATCTGAATACACCTTCCTGGCCTGAGATAGACGGCCTGAAAACATTCAAGGGCGAAGTCATGCATTCTGCAGTCTGGAACCAGAGGTATTGCGCATTCCCACGATGTGTCTTGAGTAGCAGATTGACTGAATTGGCTTATAGGTACGACTTCGAAAACAAACGAGTTGGTATTATTGGCTCCGGCTCTTCTTCAATCCAGATCGTCCCTTCGCTACAACGTCTACCAGGTACCCACATCAGCACCTTTGTGCGTAGCAAGACGTGGATATCACCTCCTTTCGGCCAGGACTTATTCGACAAATACGGTTTCAATGGCTCAGCAATCCCCCAAGAGCTCCGCGATCGTTTTGCGAATGACCCCGAGTACTACTACAAGTTCAGGCTTTCAGTCGAAGAGGATGGAAATGGTATCCACGCTGTCACGATGAAGGGAACTGAACTGCAACTTGGCGCAAAGGATATGTTCCACAAGCACATGAAAGAAAGACTAAAGAGCAAGCCGGAAATCTTCGAAGCCCTCTTACCGTCATTCTCACCAGGATGTCGCCGTTTGACGCCAGGCCCAGGCTACCTAGAAGCACTGACGCAGCCCAATGTAGACTTTGTCACATCACCTATAACGCGCATATCCGAATCTGCGATTCACACTGCTGACGGTAAGACGCATGAGATTGACGCTCTTGTGTGTGCGACAGGCTTCAAAGCATCTGCCCCGCCTCCGTTTCCGTTGACCGGCAGCAAGGGGCTATCTCTCACGGAGAAGTGGAACAAGCGCGCTGTCAACTATCTCTCGCACTCTGTTGCCGGCTTTCCAAACATGTTCACGATGCTTGGCCCCAACGCTGCCATCGGCTCTGGTAGTCTAACTACCATGATCGAAACAGTAGGCGACTACATCATCAAAGCAATCCGCAAGATCCAAAAAGACAACATTGCAGCCATGACAGTCAAAGAGGCGCGCGAAAAGGACTTCATAGAGTATGTTGATGCATACTTCCAAGGCACAGTCTTCGCCGATGAGTGCAGAAGTTGGTACAAGAACAAGGGTACTGGGGAGGTCGTCGGACTTTGGCCCGGTAGTACACTACACTGCGTTGAAGCAATGCGGAGCCCGCGCTGGGAAGATTTCGACTACGTCTACCTGGATGAATTAGAGGGCCAAGACGCTAACAACGACCTACATGGTGTGGGTAAGAAAGCGAACAGGATGGCTTGGCTAGGTAATGGATGGAGTATCGCTCAGATGGAAGAAAGAGATCTTGCCTGGTATCTGTATCCGGAATTTTTGGATAAGCCTCTTGCACCACTACCGGAGAAGAAGAGCGTTTATAATGTAAGACCGTTTTCATATTGACAAGAGCAGGAGCAAGGATAGTGTGAGTTGCATAGCTATCGTTAACGTCTTTCTATTACCAATTAGCATAACAGCACAATGCACATAAGCTCTGGAAACATCTTGGCGTACATCTCATATGCTATGACAAGGCTAGCCAATTACTCGGTCCCAAGCTCATGCAGAATTGAGACTAAGATGATGCTGCGGACTTCAAAGTATTGTTTCTTCCCGTCCGTCAACCTAATTTTACTTTTCATCTCTTCGTATATGGAATAGTTCTTGAACATAGCTCAAAAAGCACACAGGGCTGAGAACGCCTGGGGCTTTGCCAAGTCTGTGTGGCTGGAGTGAAGATACAGAAAGCATGTATCATTGGGTAGGATCAGAGTCCCGACCTCGGATGGATCATCTGTGGCATTTCAGTGCGTCTGTTGGGGGGCCGACCCCTCGTATCATAGACCTTTAGAGCAATGATCAAGACGCCTAGAATCACCTATAGCTTGCTGAGCTCCTGTGCTACTTGAGCCTTTTTGCATCTTTCATCTCATCTTGAATCACTTTGCCAATCAGAGACGATATATCATCATGCTGTCTGTCATATTCCTACATCTGTGGCTCACGTGTCTTTTGACAGTCGTCACACGTACCTCCGCACAAGACGAAGTCGGATGCACAGACAACAGTAGCACCTACAATGATGCTGGCTTGGTGGTTCCATTTCAAAACCTCTGCGGCAAAGACATAGGCGCCGTAGTCGACTTCCTGGACCCGACGGACGAACAGACTTGGTACGACTGTATAACTCGCTGCGTCAAGAAAGAGCCGCTATGTTACGGATACGGTTTCAGACCCTTCGGCGACGTCAAAAAAAAACTGCTGGCTCATGAACGCTACGTTTGACGCTGACACGGCGGTGTATCCTGGCTACGTGGTTGATGCCGCCATGTTGGGGCCTGACCTCTTGAACGAGCTGTCTGATGACCGTTTAACGTTAGGACTGTGGCGTTGCTTTCTCAAGAATGGTGGAATACAGAACGAAACGACATCTACATCGCCAGCTGCAAGCTCGACGACTTCTGTGACCTCGACGCCTTCCGCTTCCTCTATCACGAACGCGGCTCCTTCCAAATCCAACGGTCTTTCTGCTGGCGTCAAAGGCGGTATAGTGGCTGGTATCGTGGCTGTTACGGTGATGCTAGTAGGCTCGCTCGTCGCCTTTGTGGTTGTCCGGAAACGAAAACAAAGAGTGCGGCATGCCCCTGATGCGAGTGCTGCGCAAGTCTCAGCTCAGAACCAAAGGATAGAAATGCTAGCACATAAGGGTTCATACAGCACTGCAGAGCTTGCGAGCCCAGATTCTGTACACGAACTTGGTGGATCTGGGCCTGACAAGTTGCCTGTAGCGATGGGGAGGCTTATGGGAAGTTCGCCGGAGCGGCATGAGTTAGCACTGAGAAGCGCTAGAACATATATGGTTTAGATCAAGAATGCATCCTTTCCAGAACCGTCTCCCTATGTCGCTTTTCCGTTAAGGACAACATGTGAGACCAGCAATATAAAAGCCCTTTACAAGAGCAACCCTTATGGAGGCTGTGCAGACAAGGCTGCGCATCGTTCTCCACATTGCGTCCAGACATGGCCCCCAAATCTCGCCCTAGCGTAACATGATCGCCGTTTCTTTGCCTTTACACTGGTGCTTACTTGCCTTCACACTATGCCATCCCAACAGCGTTGCACTTGCAGCAAAACGTTCGCAAATTACATGTGGAACGAATGCGACAGTAAGCAACAAAGGTGTGTGTGCTTGTTGAAAGGACCGGTGTTTCGCTCGTTGTTGTTGTTGTTGTTGTTGCTGCTGCTGCAGTGCGTGAGGCGGAGCTTGTAGGATGCACAGTGCGGCTGAGCTGGAAGCCTGATGGGTGCGCCCTGGGGATCGCCTTATTGTATGGTGGCCTCGGGGCTGAACGAGATTTGTAGGTTTCTGCTATTCTCCCTTCTTTTCTACCTTCTCGTGGTTTCAGTCAAGCCTTGGTTATCGGGCTTGGATTCCTGTGAAGATGTTGCTCCACTCGTTCCTAGATCCTAGAGTTCCTGGATTTGAAAGGCAAATGATACCGACATGTCGGCAAGACGATGAATGTCTCGCATTTTCTACACCCACCTCACAAGTGGAAGTCAATGGTATTTTGTCGACATGGACGCCGCAAGAATCACCGCTAGATCCCCAGGGAGTAGACGAAAACCAAGCTCCATTGTCAACTCCTGTCAATGGCGTCCTCGAGCCTAGCAACACACAAACCGTTGACCCCAATCTCTTTCAACCTGATCTTACTAGCACCGCGACTACGGTAACAGATAACGCGGGATCTACCATGACTATGAGGACAACGATCAATGTTACAGTACCACCGAGTCCAAGTGCCACAGTCAGTACATCAACGTCGATAACGCCAGATCCAGGTCCAGCAACTGTTGGGACCGTGGAAGCCGCGGAGAATGGCCACAGCACCAACAGACTCAGCGCCGGAGAAGTGACCGGTGTCGCTATGGGAACCTTCATCCTCGGCGCAATTCTGGCGTTTGCCGCTGCATTCTTCCTGTTTAAGCAAAGAAACAAGCACAAAAGTGCCAACGTTAACAGGAAAGATTATCCAAGCTATGGCGACTCTGCACCCGATCTAGCTATGATGCAATCCAAGAGTGCCAGCAGTCTAGTAGGGCGACATAGTCCCTACGTACAGGTTTCGCAAATACCCCTGCCAGCGCCGCTGGCTGCTCACCCACCTTCTCCAATTCCTGCCCCTGTTTTCATACCAGCAAGTGCGTCTCGAGATATCACTGCTTTCTTACCACCTACGGCAGACAACGAAGAGGTGTGGAACGAAGTCTCTCATTTGTTCGCCTTGATGCATGAACATGTAGAAAAGTATTACCGAGACGTCAATGCCATTATTACACCGAGTATGGAACCTGAGATTGCCGAGTTTGGAGCCAAGGAGGTGGACATGGCAGAACTTCTGCAAGAATGTACAAGCTCAACAGCGGCGCTGAAGCATGCCCTCGTAACATATGTACTGGGTATAACGGAGCCGAGGCAGAAAGACGACGATGAAGGGACATTGTTTCCCAAAGAGCTTTGCACAGCGGATGCTGAGAATCGTATGAATGTTGTTTCTGGTAAGCTCCTTATATGCATCTTTCACTTGAGAAAGATTGCAACTAACACCACAGATAGATCCGGATCTCGTAGCAGCTACTTCGCTGCATCGCCGCATCTCTGTCTATCTCTACAGCAACATCACCGGCATGCCAAATCGTCGCAGATCTTGGACGGCTCAATCGAACATCCGTGAAGCAGCGGAACACTTCTCTCTTACTTTCTTCCCGTGGGCCAACCCTATGTCCAGCGACCAAGACAAAGATGAAGATCTTGCGCGCATCATCACAGACACACTGACAATGAGGATATGGCTCTTCGGGCAGTTGGACACCTATGAATTTGAGTGGGAGGGAGTTGGAGAGAGAGGTATCGTCATCAACCCGAGTTTGTTGAAACGGAAACGTCAAGAGGGTGACGGCGATGATTCAATATTTCAGCTGGTGGAAGGCGCCGTCGTTGCTATGTAGACCGAATGAGATGTGTTCTCATTTTTTGCGATTGAGTCCTCTAAGTAGTCTTATTAGACGCGAAACGCGAATCACCGATCGCAATTGAACTGCCTTACGCTGTCCTGTGGGGCTCCACCCAGCTAACATATCTCCGTCAATCACCATTGGCTACTTCATACTACAGCGTGCCCAGAAACCGCCAATGCGCATGGCATAGACCCATACGGTATGCCGGTCGCTGTGACGATGGACGTATGGATGCCAAGTTGTGTATGGGTGGGCTCATTGCGATTGCGGTGTTGATCGCATATCTCACGCTGCGGCAAACTTCCATGAAGGACCGAAGAATGGTACAAGTATGGACTCAGGAGCACATCCCAGAGGGCGTCTACGTGATGTCCCAACCGAGGTGTTGCATATTACTCACGAGGACGATGAAAGCTTAGCGCGAACCGCACACGTTCTGCACCCGCACAGCTAACTCGGGTGGTTTTCCAGCATGTCATGTCCAAGGAGTTCCACTATAAAGGACAGCTAGTACAGTGTAAAGCAAGCGTGAACAGATATGGCGACCAGCCCAGCGGTAACAATTGCCGGGGCCTCGGATGGGCCCTCTTCCCCACGCCCGAAAGCTGATGCTTGCAGGCGTCGCGTGGTCAGGCCATCCGCTGGAGAGAAAAGCGTGCGATCAACTACAGCATTTTCCAGATGTGTACAAACTGTAGTCTTGACAGTCCAGCCATATCAGGTGTTTGCGGCTTGTGTGGTGTCATACCAAGCGCTTCGTAGGAGCGTTCGGCATCTTTGGGGCCGAGCTGTACCTAGGTAGCTTGCTGAGAGCTCTTCGATATTGATGACACTGTTGCAAGTCGCGCTATAGACCCAACGCGCTAGTTGGAATTTGATCAATTGCGCCTGCCCGAAGGCTAACGTTCGGTCGCGAAGTTGCGGGCCGGTTGCCTTCCTCAGGGTCGTACACATATGGTGATGGCGAAGACGTGCCCGCACTGATCAACCAACACGTTGCTGCACTCATTTACAAAAAGTGATACAGGGCATTTTGGACATCGCCAATTATCGACAGTCTAACCAATTGACGGCCAGATCGGCACAACAGTACCCTCTGACTGGCGTGCTCTGCTAGTGATCCGGAGAAACGGAGAGAGCATCACAAGATGCTATCCGTATTGGATCATGGTGCCGCCCACGGAAGGAGTGTGGGCCCAGACAGAGGCCAGCATTGGGATGAGCGCCATATTCCAGTCCCCGCAGCGAAGGCACGCGAGGGGTAGGGCAACATAGCCATCGGCCTGCCAAAGCAGCTGTTCATAAGAGTGCCGTTCGCCCATCTAGCTATCTTGCATTACAAACCCTTCCCTTTCCGCTTCACGCCAACCGTCTCGCCTCGACCCCGGCTCTCTAATACAAACACGAAGCTCCACTTGGACTGACAAGCTGTTCCCCGAATCTTCAGCGAGCAGCTTCAATTTGGCCCCTGCGGCAACCAAGCGTACCGCCGACCCCTTTACCCGGAATTGAGACATATATCTATTCTAGACGTCCGTCGGCCTGTGTCCCGCGTCTTGCCAAACTACGTTTCTACGTTGGCAAAGCTCCTAGACTGTCATCGTCGCGAAATTCCAGCGCGCCGAAGCCGAGCTCCTTTGCCCCGCCAGACGGCTAGTCCACATCCACAGAAGCAACATGTCCGAAGGAGACGTCAAGCCGCCCAGTGCGCCCGTCGTGGCCGAAGCCCACCAGGTGGACACTTTCCACGTTCCCAAGGCGTTTTACGAGTGAGTTTCTACTGTTTATTTGGTCATTACATCATGTACCAAGACAATGACAGCTGCGGCGTCATCCAAGCTCCAGAGCTCGCGCGAATGGGCGGGGTGACCCCGCGCCGCCGAGCTTTTGGCCGAAGCATCCATCGCGATCGCATCCAGACGAGGCACCCAGCTAACGCGCGCACTACAGCAAGCACCCGCACTCGAAACCGCATCTTGAGAACCTTGAAGAGTACCAGAAGCTGTACAAGGAGTCCATCACCGACCCAAAAGCCTTCTGGGGCCGACTAGCGCGCGAATTGCTCACGTGGGAACGCGATTTCCAAACCGTACAATCGGGTTCGTTCGAACATGGCGATGTCGCGTGGTTTTTGGAGGGCAGACTAAATGCCAGCTACAACTGTGTCGACCGCCATGCCTTCAAGGATCCCAACAGGCCTGCCATCATCTACGAGGCCGACGACGCTGGCGATGGCCGCATCATCACATACGGAGAGCTTCTCCGCCAGGTCTCGAAGCTGGCCTACACACTCAAGGAGATGGGCGTAAGAAAGGGTGATACTGTCGCTCTTTACCTGCCCATGATTCCCGAGGCAGTCATTTCCTTCTTGGCTTGCACGCGTATCGGCGCCGTTCACTCAGTCGTCTTTGCAGGTTTCTCGTCTGATTCGCTACGTGACCGCATCATCGATGCCGAGTGCAAGGTCGTCATAACTACCGACGAGGGCAAGCGTGGCGGCAAAACCATCAGCACAAAGAAGATTGTCGACGATGCTCTCAAGCAATGTCCTGGCATCAGTCACTGTCTGGTTTACAAGCGCACTGGCGCTGAGGTGCCCTGGACCAAGGGCCGCGACTGGTGGTGGCACGAGGAGGTGGAGAAATACCCCAACTACATTGCGCCGGAGCCGATGAACTCGGAAGACCCTTTGTTCTTGCTTTACACTTCTGGTTCAACCGGCAAGCCTAAGGGTGTCATGCACACAACCGGAGGCTACCTCCTTGGAGCAGCGGCAACCGGAAAGTACGTCTTCGACATCCACGACAACGATGTCTTCTTCTGCGGCGGTGACGTAGGTTGGATCACAGGTCACACTTACGTCGTATACGCACCTCTGTTGCTCGGTGTGGCTACCGTTGTCTTCGAAGGCACGCCTGCCTACCCCAACTTCTCGCGCTACTGGGACATTGTCGACAAGTACAATGTTAGCCAGTTCTACGTCGCTCCCACTGCGCTGCGGCTGCTCAAGCGTGCTGGCAACGAGCACGTCAAGCACCAGATGAAGAACCTCAGGATTCTTGGATCCGTCGGTGAGCCAATTGCTGCTGAGGTCTGGAAGTGGTATTTTGAGACTGTCGGAAAGGAGGAGGCACATGTTGTTGATGTAAGTCGTTGTCGAATACCCTCGTGGATGTGTTGCTGACTGAGATAGACGTACTGGCAAACCGAGACTGGCTCGCATGTCATCTCGCCTATGGGTGGTATCACACCCACGAAGCCCGGATCCGCGTCCCTGCCATTCTTTGGCATTGAACCTGCGATCATCGACCCGGTATCTGGCGACGAGATTCACGGAAATGATGTTGAGGGTGTACTGGCCTTTAAGCAGCCGTGGCCCAGCATGGCCCGCACAGTCTGGGGAGCACACAAGCGATACATGGACACATACCTGAACGTATACCAGGGCTACTATGTAAGTTTGAGGAAGTTGATGATTGAAATGTATGGGTCTGACATGTGCAGTTCACTGGAGACGGCGCCGGACGTGACCACGAGGGCTACTACTGGATCCGGGGCCGTGTCGACGATGTCGTCAACGTGTCGGGCCACAGGCTGTCTACTGCTGAGATTGAAGCCGCGCTTATTGAGCACCGTATGTTGTTATCTCCCTAAAGTCCGATATGCAAATTGCTGACTGCTGCGTAGACCAAGTGGCTGAGGCTGCAGTGGTGGGGATCAATGACGAACTGACGGGCCAAGCTGTCAACGCTTTTGTAGCGCTGAAAGACGGCACAGAGTCAAATGACCAGGTAAAGAAGGACTTGGTAATGCAAGTGCGCAAGTCGATTGGACCGTTTGCGGCACCAAAGGCGATTTTTGTGGTTCCAGATCTGCCAAAGACACGGTCCGGCAAGATCATGCGCCGTATCATGCGGAAGATCTTGGCAGGCGAGGAGGACCAGTTGGGCGATATCACGACAGTAAGTGAAATTTGTTTAGATTTTCCGTTGGCGATGAGGATTACGCGTACTCTGTGGGATGGAGTTGGCTGACTGCCCCGACAGCTTTCGGATCCGTCGGTTGTTGATAAGATCATCGACATTGTGCACCAGTCCAAGAAGAAATAAACGGCTCTGCTTGGCTCGGATTGCAGTGGTTGCTATGGTAAGCAAGCAGGCGAAGCTCCTCTAGTCTGGCGGGGGCGGACGGCTTCAGTGGTTCTTGGAGGATGACAAGTGCCGAGCAATGGCGGTTCTATAGTGAGACGCAGTCAGTATGCGCGCTGAGGCACGACCATGCTGTGTTTGTTTGGGCGGCCGCTGTACGCCCATCTATGTTTAGTGTGAATATGCAGACGATAGGTTCTACGTTGACTCGCCATTTTGTGCGTCGGCTTGTGCCTGCGTGGAGCAACGAGTGGACAAACGCGCGAATGACGGCGCGACGGCGTATACAGATACGAGGAGCAGATGCACGGCGGAGACGGTGCAGGGGAGAGATCTGATAGTTTCATTCGTGTCGCGCCCAGACCCCCCTCCTCTTCCGCAAGCCGGGCGCCAAGATGGTGGCTGGCAGGGGCTGTGCAGACGATTACGACTCTCTATTGTCGCTCGCCATCGTTGACACGCGGTATAGCCTTTTGCCTCTGCTAGCGTTTCTTCTGTATACACGTACTTTTGCCTACCCATGTCTCTCGTTGCGTTGTCCTAGTTTTCGCTTTCCACCCCAAATACACCTTCTCCCTGAGCGGAGAGGCACCGCCACCCGAGAATGCGCATCTTCGGCACCTTAAGGGCCGCCATCACCATCGGCCTTGCCACCATAACAGCCGCCTCGTCCCACGCCCGCCCGCCGCTGCGAAGCATCGCGCTTGCCAAGAATGCCGACATCCTCACACAGACACACCGCGTCACTGCCGTATCGACCTTCGACCTTGCCTTTGACGTCTCCGGGCAGCGCATCCGCCTCAGCCTCGAGCCCAACCACGACCTTTTCGTCGACGGCGGCCAAATCACACACCTCAACGCCGACGGCTCGATAGCGCGGCAGGAGCCCATTGAGCGGCTGCAGCACAAGGTTTACAAGGGCACCGCATGGCTGAAGAGGGGGAACCGCTGGGACAATGTCGGCTGGGCCCGGATAGGGATACGCAAGGACGGGCTGGAACCGCTGTTCGAGGGCACCTTCACCGTCAACCACGACCACCACCATGTCAAGACGGCGTCGAGCTACAAGTCGACGCGCCAGGCCGAGGACCCAGACGTTGACCTGCGCGACCGCGAGTACATGGTCGTCTTCCGCGACTCGGACATGGGCCGCTTCGACGAGCATACCGAGTTGAGGAAGCGAGGAGACAACATCGCATGTCCCTCCGACGACCTCATCTTCAACACGCAGGAGGACCATCCCGTCTATGCCAGCATGCGCGCCCGCGATGAATCCTCCGCCATGTCGCCATCCCTCATCTCAGCCATGTTCAAGCGCCAGAGCAACAGCGACGACACCCAGTCCGGAGGCAACGGCGCCGGTGTTGACCTTTCCACCACCATTGGCAGCACTGCCGGATGCCCCGGTACCCGCAAGGTCGCGCTGGTGGGTGTCGCCGCTGACTGTACCTATGTCAATTCTTTCAACGGAGACAAGAACCGGACCCAGACAAACATCATAGATGCCATGAACCAGGCTTCCGAATTGTTCGAGAGCACTTTCAACATCTCTCTTGGCCTGGCCAATGTGCTCATCACCGAACCCGAATGCCCGACATCGCAGCAGCAAGCAACTCCCTGGAACCAAGGCTGCAGCAGCCAGATTACCATCCAAGACCGTTTGAACCAGTTTTCCCAATGGAGAGGCCAACAGCAAGACACCTACTCCCATTGGACTCTGCTGTCTACCTGCAACACCGGATCTGCCGTCGGACTAGCCTGGCTTGGACAAGCTTGTACAACAGGCTCTCAGGACAACAACGGCAACTCTGGCGAGACTGTCGCTGGTGCTAACGTTGTCATCAAGACTGGCACTGAGTGGCAGGTCATTGCCCACGAAACAGGCCATACTTACGGCGCAGTGCATGACTGCACGTCCGACACATGTGGAAACAGCGACATTGTCAGCTCACAGCAATGCTGTCCCCTCAGCCAAAGCACCTGCGACGCCAATGGTGGCTTCATTATGAACCCTTCAACTTCCCCCGGTATCTCGCGCTTCTCCGCTTGCTCCATTGGTAACATCTGCTCTGCGCTTGGACGGAACAGTGTCAAATCCCAGTGTCTCACCAACAATCGCGACGTCACGCTCCTCACTGGTCAAAGGTGCGGCAACGGTATCGTTGAAGGCGATGAACAGTGCGATTGCGGCGGCACCTCGGGCTGCGAGGGCAACAATTGCTGCAACCCCGAGACTTGCCGCTTCATCAACAACGCTGTCTGCGATGACTCTAACGAAGACTGCTGCCGCGACTGCCAGTTCGCTTCTGCCAACACTGTCTGTCGCAGTTCTGTCGGAGAGTGCGATCCCGAGGAAACCTGTACTGGCAATTCACCATACTGCCCCGAGGATAAGACCAAGAATGATGGCTCAAGCTGCGGCAATGGCCTTAGTTGTGCCTCCGGACAGTGCACGAGTAGAGATATGCAGTGCAAGACTATCATGGGTAGTTACACGCAGAGCAACGACACATACGCTTGCGATAACAGTAATTGTATGCTCAGCTGCGCAAGCCCAGAATTTGGAGCAAGATGTTATGGACTCCAGCAGAACTTCTTAGATGGCACAAGCTGTACCGGTGGGGGTAAATGTAGCAACGTGAGTTTCATCGAGATTCCTGTCTGCCTCGTCTGATATACTAATATTCTATAGGGTGTCTGCGAAGGTGGCTCCGTCGGTCGAGAGATCACTACCTGGATCGATCGCCATCTTTCCATCGTCATCGGCGTCGCCGCGGGAGTCGGTGGCGCCCTCTTGCTCTGCATCTTCTGTTGCTGCTGGCGTTCCTACCGCCGTCGCTCAAAGCTTAAGAAATACGCTGCTGCTCATCCGCCGGTGCCTTACCAGGGCAGCAGCAGGCGCAATCGAGGCGGGCCCACGGGTCCTCCGCCTATGGGCCAATATAACAATGGCTTTGCTCCTCCCCCAGGCCCACCACCATCTCAAGGATCGTCTGGGCCGTGGGCGCCGAATCCGCATGCGCCAAACGGGAATGTCCCAATGCCGCCACCAGTACATAGAAGTAGTGTGCGGTATGCATAGCAGCTTTTTTCTTTCTTAGAACTTGGTTATGAAAAACAATACCACGGTCGTTTACACCCCAGTTGAAAGTTCAAAACTGGGGGTTGAGAGTGCTTTTGCTCAGACTTGCATCGTTATCGGCGTTCTTTATCTCTTTTGTGCGGTTCTTCTTCGTCGGCATGAAGGCTATCGTTGCATTTGGGGGATCCTGTTGTATAGCATCGAAGAAGAGTGAGATGTAGGAGTAAGTGTCGATATAGACGCGGTGAAATATATCCCTTGTTGTGTACATGTTCGATTCTCGCATTCCGCGCCAGTCGGTGGCATGGTTGTACCGAAACTTTCTTGTCCTTCCCTACTTTGACAGTTATGATTTGTACATCGAGCGTCGTACATCGAAAAAGTGGGGGCATGTCCATTTCATCCAGCCTAGGGATATTTAGTGTTGTACGATGGTTATGCGTCAGTGATCGTACATGGCCAAGCTTGGTGACAGTGTCGGCCGATATTGCTACAAGACTCCGCACAACCACAGCCTCGTGTTTACGGACATCACGGACACATCGAACTTGCCTGGATAATCGAGCCGAACAAGCATCGGAGGTCGGGGGAATCATGAAGGAACGTGCTAGGTATCGTACAAGGCACCGGCTGCTGGGGACCGACATCAGGTAGTCATCAACCAATTTCTCTGAATACTAACGCTCACTCAAACTTTGGAACAGTATAAAGTTCCTGTCAATGTTGACACGGATCCTCCATCATTTGTCGAGCACTAGTTATCTTCTGTCCCATTCTTTATCACAATACGATGTTGTTGAATTTTGGCCTTCCAAATGCCTGGCTTGTGGTGGCACTGCCGATCATCATTGTCTTAGGTTGGATCATTTACACGATTACATTACATCCTCTGAGTAGGGTCCCGGGACCCTTTCTGGCCAGGATCTCGCGCCTCTGGTATTTGCGCAAGATTTGGACGGAAGACGTCGAGAAGTATGAGAGGGCTCTGCATGCTAAACACGGGCCCTTGATACGTATTGCACCGAATGAGGTGTCGTGTTCTGAGTGAGTAGTAACATGCCTTCTTCCAGTTCTTCTATCAGAACGCGAAATTAATGCGCATGCAGCCCCGAAGCCTTCGCAAGTATTTACCGTTTTTCCAACGCGTTGGACAAGTCGGGTTTCTACGAGCCGTACAACACGACCGGATTTAGCGTTCATGGTGACATATTCTCCTGCAAGGATGACAAAAAACACGGGCGGAGACGCAGAATCGTCAGCAGTATCTACTCGATGACGAATGTTGCAAAGTCTGAAGAATATGTCGACTCGTGTAGCAATCTCCTCGTCGATCGACTAGGTCAGTTTGCCAAGTCAGGAAAACCTTGTGATCTCGGTGAATGGTTGCATTGGTAATTTATTCCTACTGTTCGCTCGATGAGAGTATCTTGACTAAGACTGGAACAGGTACACTTTTGACATTATTGGCGAACTGTTCTATGGCAGAGCCTTCGGCTTTCTAGACGAAGGAAAGGACCAGAACGATTGGATCAAGTCGCTAGACAAGATGATACCATTCGTGTGCTTGATGGGCGTTGCACCTCCAATCTTAAGGCCGCTGATTGGTATGAGTACCATGCTTACAGCTGCCGGCCAGGATATCAGGAATGGCGTGTAAGATGTACTGTGCTTTTTCTTCCACTTCCGCACACTAACACATCTTCACCAGAAAAAACATAGGCTCCTCTTCCACACGCTTGATGAAAGAAGCTTACGCAACCCGCCATGAAGTGAATAGAACGGACATGGCCCAACAGGTTTTCGACATCTATGAAAAGAATGGCGAAAAGATGGACTTCACGTGGGGCGACGTCGAACAGGAATCTTACGGCGCACTCTTTGCAGGCAGCGATACAACTGCTATCGCATTCCGATCGCTCTTCTATCATTTAATGCATAGCCCAAACGTCTATGCTCGTCTCGAGAAAGAGATTGACGAGGCTTTCCAAGAAGGTCGTATGGATCTGCCGCCGACCTATAAGCAGGCAAGCCAGCTTCCTTATCTGTGTGCATGTATTAAGGAGGCGCTCAGGATTCATCCCGGAGCACAGCTCTCCCTACCACGAACCGTTCCACGTGGGGGCATGGAGCTCTGCGGACAATTCATACCCGGAGGCTATACTGTTGGAATCAACGCAGCAGTCATGCATTTCGATCGGCGAGTCTTCGGTCAAGATGCTGATATCTTCAATCCTGACCGCTGGATGGATCCAGTGCGCGCGAACCAGATGGACAAGTATATGATGTCATTCGGAGGTGGAACAAGAACCTGTATAGGGAAGAATATCGCACTGATCGAATTGCATAAGTTGTCGCCGCAATTGGTATGGAACTATCACTTCGAGTTCTACGATGCGGGACAGACGCAATGGCATACAAGAAACACCTTCTTTGCTAGACAGGAGGGTATGATTGTACGGGTAAAAGTTCGCAAGCATGATTAAAGTCCCATAGTTCATCCTTGCATTCTTCGTCCGTATTTCAACATACGTAGCACTAGACTCATTATCACAAGTATTATTTGAGTTGATTACAGCAAGCAATGCGATTCTTCGATGGCTGATCGCAAGCATAGTGCTAGGAAAGGTAGCGCGATTTGTTCTCGTGGCTTACCATCATGCCAATGACCACGACTGCAGTCTTTTATTATATGACGCAGCAATGCCGAATCCGAGGTTGACCCAACAATGTGCCCCACAGCAACTGCCGTGGACCCTGATCTGCGATGAAGTCATCGCAATAACATTTTGGAAATCACGACGCGTCTCTGACAAAGCAGCAACAAACCTCTCGATAAAAACTGAAGTCTGATTTAGAGACTCAGGTATACAGTAATCATGGTGTTGGCTCTTACCAGCGCAACAGGCAAGCTGGGCGGTGCCGTGCTGAACGCCATCCTGGACAACAAGCTCATTGATCCCAAGGAGCTTGTAGTATGCGTACGTTTTCCCTTCACGATCTTATCGTATCTAGTGCGAGTTTCACGTAGCTGACAGATACTACAGACGTCTAGTGACCCCAACTCGGACCGCTTCACCTCCCTACGCAACCAATCCATAACCCTCCGCCAGGCCGACTTCGATAAGCCTGAATCCTTGACGCGCGCCTACGATGGCTGCACATCTCTCTTCCTCGTTTCTACTCCACGCATAGCTATGGACTACAACAATGCGCCGCTCTGGAAAGGACGAGAGGCGCACCACCGTGCTGCCATTGACGCTGCTATCCAAGTCGGCATACAGCATATATACTATACGTCCCTTGGTTTTGCTAACCCCTCGAAAGCGAGTGTCATGCGCGCGCACATCCGGACAGAGGAGTATCTACACGGGTTGGAGAAAGAGGGAAAGTGTAAGGTCACTATCATCAGAGAGGGGCTCTATAACGAGAGTTGGCCGTTGTATTTTGGATATTATTTTGGGCTGAAAGAAGAAACAAGGGAAGAAGTGCTTGTTGCGGGTGACGGAAAGGTTAGCTGGACCAGCATTCCCGACATGGGATTCGGGACCGCCAAGATACTCGCAGCGCCGAGTGAGCAGTGGGCGGGCAGGACATTTTATCTCTCCCAGAAGAAGAGCTGGTCGCTGAAGGATATCGCAGATATTGTTAGCAGGGTGAGAGGCGACGAGATCAAGCTCAAGATCGTGGACAGGAAAGAGTATGAGGACTTTTATGTTAACAGTAAAGGTATGGAAAGACCGAGTGTGGAGTGGTGGTCAAGCTCATATGACGCGTTGAAAGACGGAGAATGTGAGATTAACGATCCAATATTGGAGAACCTGCTCAAGGAGGCTGGGAGGACACCCAAGCCGTTGGAAGAGACGATCGAAGAGATGCTGCGATAGAAGGAAGAGTTGGCTCACATATCTGGCTCCTTATACAGACTAGTAGCAATCGAACTCTTCTACGACTATCGTCTGACTACGCTGATAAACATCATATGCTCACACTGCGCCTTCCCTTGCTCGATAACCACCCTTCATATTTGACCCATTGCAGTGTCTTCAAGTCACCGATCCAAAGATACTCTCGTGAATTACTTTGTCTTAGTCCAGGGATCTTCTGCAACCTCTTTGGCCTTTTGTTCAAGAAGTTACCGTGTAGTATGCTCCTTCTATCCAGGTTAACTTGCTTGTCGTTCGTGTTGATATTTTGAGAGTAACAGATCGACTATTCGGTGACCGCGATATCGTAGGAAGCAGTTGGTATTGACTTTGGTATCGTATGAGGAATACCCCAATTCTGCTAAAGCGTTGCAGTACCCAATCGGAACGTTATTGTGGCTACGGACATGCGCTATACGCCCGAAAGTAGACATGATAATAGTATAGAGTGTAAAAGCTCGCGGTCGTTGGTTGGATGCGAAAACGAGAGTGGCCAATTCGTGCTTTGGTGTCGCAGCAGAAAGCAGAGGATTTGTTGGATTTGTTGATGGTGTATGCTATAGGGCTCATAGTTCCCTGTTCGTATCGAGGTTATAGTCGCGTTGTTCGATTTTCCGGTGATCTGGAAAGCCAGAAATTGGAATGGTAGTTGATAGAGAGAACAAGATGCTGAGAGTTGCTTTAGGAGAAATCTCTCAAGCGTGAATTCTGCGTAGAAGACGTAAGATTTGAACCATGGGTAGTATAACCATTCAATTGGTTGAGCCCACTAGAAATTATGGTCCAGTCATGGTAGAAGCTTGCAAAAAAGCACATGTCCATAACGTAATCGCAGCTAGTACTGTGGGATATACTCATCACTCATATCTAATGTCTACTCGTACAAATATACATGCACCGTCGCTTCTTTTCCTCGGTTCCATGTTCTTGCTAGTGGTTCCTATATTCTCACTCGCGCGGCGCTCTCGTTTCTTTCAGCAACCATACCAAAGCCAAAGTCCTTTCTCCGCTTGTTACCCTTGCGATCACCATACTGCTCGTCAAACTTCTTGATTGCGCTCAGACTGCTCATGTCTTCGCTAATACTAGCACTAATCTCCTGGAGTGCCTTGTCAAAGTGTCGTGGATGGAGGGTACGCTTTTCGGGGAAAGTATAGTTTTGACCGCGCACGAGATGTGGCACTTTCGGTGGCAAGGAAGGCTGTTGGGGCGATGTGGAGGTCGTGGAGGTCGTGGGTGGTTCTGATGTAGGCTCAGGCTCTGCGGTAGACTTGGCTGCGGCAATTGCAGCTTGCTCGTTCTCTTCTTTGACACAAGCGAGAGCTGCAGATACAGCAATGTTTTTGAGATCACTTCCACTGTAGAAAGGCGTACGTTTGGCGAGATCTGCTAGATCAACAGAGTCGTCCAGCTGTTCGCCCTTGAGATGTATGCGCAAGATCTCCTTCCGGTCGGCCTGAGTGGGTAGATCGACCAATAATCGTCTTGGTAATCGGCGAATAACAGCATCATCCAGGTCGAAAGGTCGGTTCGTAGCTACCATGACGAAGACGGAAAGGTCGTTGAGGCCGTCCCATTCCTTCAAAAATTGGTTGAGTATGTCGCGATGTGACGTTCGTTCCCGCATGGCGTCTCGGGATGCAAAAACGGCATCTGCTTCGTCGAGGAATACGATGCATGGTGACAGTTTTCGTGCTAACGAAAAAATTGCTGCTACATTCTTCTCGCCTTCGCCCACATACTTATCCATAATTTGGCTTCCAGAAACTTCGAGCACGGTACTGCCGCTCTCCTTCGCGACAGCCTTGGCAAGAAGCGTTTTTCCTGTGCCTGGAGGCCCATACAGTAGTGCACCGGATATCTTCTCCGTCGCCAGGATACCATAGCTGAAGGCTTCGGGACGTAATAGTGATAAAGAGGTGATGGTTCGTATCGAATCGACCGTTTCAGTAGGAACGTGAACTTGATCGAATGTCGTTTTGATCTGATCTGGGTCCGCAATACCGGGCATCAACCGCTTTTCATGTTTGTTGGCTGTAGAAGTTATGCGCTGTAGATTCTGTTGACGTTTTATGCTTTTCTCATCGAGGCGTTTTCTGCTTAGGTCTGCTTGAAAATCTCCATCTAGATTGCTAAAAGCATTCTTGGAGCGCTTCGGGGCCTGTAAAGTTTTATCAAAATAGGCGTATTTGACGGTATCGCTCGCTTTTAGCAAGCCCATTGCAAGAGCAACATGTGCCCAGCTGAGTTGCGCTGGTGCATCTGCAGAGACTTCAGCCACACTTGCTGGGCTTGTGATGAGCAGGCCAAGAGTTGTCAACGCTACCCTGTGTACCTCATCGTATGTCAGCACATGGTTGAATTGTGACTCGGAGAATATGGGAGCCCATTCACTGAAGCGTGATGGACTTTGCTCAAGGTCCGATATCGTGGCAGCCGCAGATGGATCTAACGAGCGAAGCATATCTTGGATATGGTACAGATTGATGCGTCGGAGTTTACTCTTCTCTGCTGGTGAGACATCAGCGGAAGACGCAGAGCTACCCCCTAATGATGCAATGGCTTCATCAAAGTTTGGTGTGTTGCTACCGCCAGACTCAGATGCAATTACAATGGTCCTGAAGAACGTGCTCTCGCCTTCAGTCTGGAGAGCGTGAACCCCACTGAGGCTTGTTAGCTCGGCCATATCAAAGGTTTAAGAACTCCTTACCTGTGTGATAGTTCATACGTGAGATCGCGTGAACATGTGCTTCCTACAATCATGATACTTTCTCCAGCATTACGCCGCTTGCGGACAAGCTCCTCCAGCTTCTGGATGATGCGGCCGCCATAGTGCGTAGCGTTGAGTTGTTTAAAGTCCTTGATATAGATAATCTTAGAAGTGGCAGGGACATTGGGAGTGTTCGACGCTGAGCCAATTTTGACAGCCATGTTGATATCCGACCTTGCCGCAGCTGGTAAGGTAGAGTTGAGTTCAAGCTCAGCACCTTCTTGGGTTAGGGAGTAGTCAAAAAATGCTGGGGTCTTGGCAGGTATTTGTGATTCATCAGAGGAGTGAAGTGGAAAGCCGCCATCACCGACGATACCACGACTTTGTTTCACGTCGCTCGAATCGATCAGCGCATCCAAGAGAGTAGCTAACTTCAAATCCTCGAGTTGTACGTCTGCAGGATTCTGGCTGCGCCCAGATTCGTCGGTCAACGTATCAGTAGTTGTCCCGAATTGACCTTCTGGAATGCGAAAACCCTTCAAGTTCTGGGTCATAGCGCGCAGAGCAGGTGTGAGAGCGATGATGGAAAGGGGCATAGCACGAGGGCGCATTGAGGTCGGATCAGACTGATCTGTCGACGAAGACTGCGTCCAATCGGTCTCGTCTTCGGGGAAAGAGTCCTCTATGTCCCTCACGAGATTGCTCAGCTCCGAGTTCATTCGGTATGTTTCGTAGCCCAGCGAGCGAACTGAACGTGATGATGGTTCAGCTCCTTCACCAAGGTAATCCCCAGCTAGGTGAGCAAGATCTTGAGCACTCAGGGTGATGACGTCGGATCCCATTTCAGAAGCAGTAGCTGTTACGCACTCATCTATCGAGGCCTCGTGCTCGGCTGTAGGCGAATGGAGTATGAGGTTCGTCTTTGCAGCTGGGAACGAGTCGCTAGCTGCTGGCTGCAGCGAGCAAAGGGAAGCAGCGATAGTGGCGCGAATCTCAGCGATGACCAAGGACGATAGGCGTCTGGAGCTACCCATCTGCCGGGTCCTGGCGATCTCCCGTTTCTTAGCAGCTATGCCTAGCTTGGCACTCTGTTTCCTCATTGCTTCAATCTTGTTGCGCGGATCCATGTCGGTATCGTTGTTTAGCTTGCTTAGCTTAGACCAAGCTTCTGTGAAAGCACTGTCTTCTGTGATTGTGGCTATGGGCACCTCACCAGGTCGTCCTGCTTCAGTGCTGGCGACTGCCTCATCGTTCCGTAATTGCGACAGGTGGGTTTCGGTGTGGTCAGCGGGGGCAATCCTCTCTTCGAGATACTTGTCGACCTTGAGCTTTTCATGGTCGTCCAAACGCCTGCTCCACAGGCCACGCACTAGTCGCGAGAGGATCTGGGCAGCGTCTGAGTCGCGTCGAGCGGGAATGGTGCACGCGGCGTGCTCTCCGGACTCGGCATGAGTGACTGCCACAGACAGAACCGTGGGCGGTTTGGGTATCTGTGGATCTCTGGACAGGTCTTGGCGACGTATTACCCTCTTCTTCAGGAACCAGTCTGGTATGTGTACAGGCGGCAGGCCTTGCGTCTTCTTCCCCCGCTGTTGGCGCCGCAAGGCAGCCGAGTACCTGCGTGAAGATTCGCGTGAGCGCTGGAGTTTCTGGGCGAGAAGCTCGGGGTCGTCTGGCGCTACCGCGCTGTCTGCTGGCTCCTCGCCTGCTGCCGCCTGGTCTCGGTCCGTCTTGTTGACGTCATCTTGATCGGCAGGCGTGCTATTGGGAGCGGGCGGCGGATCTGAGGCTTGTGCGAGGGTGCGGGTGGTATGGAATGCTCGTGGTCGTGGTGTGCATGGGTAGCGGCGACCGCGGATAAAGCGCGCTGGAGGTCGGTTCGTAGACACTCGCAGTGCGCATCGAATCGCGTACATGCGGACGTCGAAAGCACTCCCAGGAATTGGGGAGGAGGGAGCCTACAGGGGTCGTTGTAGGCTGTGGTGGCATGTTGGCGATAAACTATCGTCAACTTTCTTCCATATTCCCTAAACAAGGGTCCACGGCCAAGCACACGCCGGCTATTCCCGCCCTGCGAGTCTATCTCTACCACAACACATTGCCATAGACGAGCCTGGCAACTGCCATACTAGTCTCGTCGAACAGACATCGATACTACGTTGAGCTTCCCTGGGTGTAGCTGCACTGTATACCCCCTTCACGCATAGATTAGCAGCCAATGACGTAGCCCATACAACTCACATGTCCACCGAGAGCAACATCTAGGAAGGGGCAATGAGCCTCAAGTTCGGCACCAGGCAGCGCTGTGACGTCTCATTGGCGCCTCACTCAGCATTCTGTAGAATTTGGTTGCTACCATGGAATATGTGGGTCAGTACTGCAGGCTATCCAATGCAGTGTATATGGTGTCCCCACGCACCCTGGGATGATCTGAACTAGGACTTGACTCCGTCTCAGCTCGCCAACCGAATGTCTCAAGGCTTGAAGTTGTCCACACAGGCTGTAGCTGGTAGATTTTGGAAAGGTCGAGTTTGCCATAGGTGGACAGACAGTACCATGGATCGATAGCAGACGGGGAATTCAACATTGAACAGAACCGTAATTTACACATTGCTGCCTATGGGACATCGACGATGAACAAAAACAACGGAAAAATCTCAACGTAAAACTTATAATCGGTGACATGATACGCATCCTCGTCTCTCCTTCCACCATTCAGGATCCTATCACTGCAATACAAGATGAGCGTCCACAACTCCGAACAAGCCAGTAAGCTTTACCAAGTCCACTGCTTTCATGAACATGGACTGAAATTGATGATAGTTGGCCAAGTCCAGTCCTCGCTCGACGGGAAGTCGCACGCCAGAATGTCAATTTCATCCACCGAAATCAAGTTCGAGAATAACGGTGATCTTGTAACCCGGACACAGCAATGCAGGATACTTGCTTCAACATGCCTCATGGCTTTTACGATAATAGGCCTCAACCAGTCTTTCGGTGTTTTCCAGGCACACTACGGACGGCAAGCATCTGCCCTAGAGGGTGTCCTTCTTCAAGCCGAGCTGTCACAACGCTCGTTGATCTCTGCCGTAGGCTCATTAGGAAACGGTGGACTCGTCGCCGCCTTTGGGCTGTTTTACTATCCACACCTACCTAGGTTGGGAGGTCACGTCAAATATTTGTGTGGACTAGGCACTGCCTTCATCACGATTGGCTTCGCGGCTGCTGCAGGAAGCCATAATGTAAGTAAAGTTCTCCCAGTCCCAGCGCCACAACTGCTTACAATGATACAGCTGACAACGCTTGTCGCCTGCCAAGGATTACTGGTTGGCATTGGAGCTGGCATCCTTAATTACGTTCTTGCGCCTATTTTACCCGAGTATTTCCCACAACGGAGCGGACTTGCACAGGGTGCCATGTTCGCTTGTGGCGGTCTAGGGGGTATGGTATGGGTGTTTGTACTAACGGCATTACTCGAAAGCATTGGAATCCGGTGGACGTTGGGACTCCTCTCTATATTGAGCTTCGCAATTCTGTCCATCTCAAGTGCGCTCGCCCTTCCGCCGCGAAAATTCGAAAGGCGGTCTACGGAGATTGTCAGTTGGAAGGTTTTCCGAGATCCTCTTTTTGCTTCTCTCGCAATCGTGAACTTGATCATGGCATTGACGCTGGCCATCCCTACGGCATTCGGATCTGAGTTTGCCCAGTCTATAGGGGCCAGCATCACCCACGGATCATATCTCTTGGCCATCAACTCGGGAATTGGAATTCCGGGAAGAATATGTACCGGCTGGCTCTCAGACAAGATTGGACATTTGAATATGCTCATAGTTGCAACCGCCGTATACGCCATTGCAACCTGGGCGTTGTTCTTGTCATCCGCAATGACCAGCAATCTGGGATCATACGTTGGTATGACTGTTTGCTATGGATTGAGCAGCGGTGTCTTCAACACCGTCATGAACTCTGCGCAGAAGATGCTGTTTGGGGCCGAAATGTACTATCCCAAAAGCGGCGCGACCATTACCATACGCGGGATCGGCTTCGTTATTGGCACGCCTATTGCCGGTGCATTGGTGTCCAGGATCGCTGGTGAAGACTTGGTGGGGAGAGACTTCTTGAAACTTATCGTTTATACCGCTGCGTTGTTGACGCTTTCGCTGTTATGCCTTCTGAATGTTCGAAGGCTGGATGCGCGGGGGAATGGGTGGAAGCTAGTACGCTGATCTGAGAGCTGGAGTACTGGGTGCGACTTGGGGGACAAATCGCTGCCTACGTCTGCGTTGATAAGTCTGTTCCAGTTGCCTGATAAGGTCAGCTCGTGCTTGTTCGCACTGTCTTGCTCTTGCCATGATGGAGTAGATTGAAATCTGATGTTCGAAAAGATGGGTACATGTGCTTTCCCCACTTTATCTCTCTTCGACTCCCACGTCCCACGTCCACTCCACTCCGCCGGGCGCAAGTGGACACCAGGGATCCGGATATCCACAACTTCTTCTGTTGCTACGCAACATTGATTCGGACCAGGAATATGGATACGTGTGCTCTGCCACGTCGCAACACTCGGTGCAGATACTGATCCGGCGCGTATACATGCTAGCTAGGAGATGCATGTGTGGATCGCACCACACGTGCATCGAGGCGGGTGCCCTGCATGTTGGCATCTCTGGCAACGTCGTCAAAATGTAGAAGTGGTAACGGCGACAGGAGAGCCTTGGGGAAATTGGTGTGGCTGGTGCTGAGTGATGAGATTGTGACGGATGCATGGTGATAGGGTTTAGCGAGTTAGCGAGCTCTTTTACTCCGCCTGTTCCTGGCGCTGTAGATCGTCGCTTCCTTGCGTGTCGTGACCGCCCAAACAAATGCCCCGTTGAGCCAATTCACCCTCAGATGCGCGTCGCCCGTCTGATGCACGACCGCTCAAGCTGCAGGCCCTTTGCTCCTTCACCCTCACCACTCAGGGACACGTAGTCCCCCGCTCAATCGCTCTCTCACGTTCTTTTTGGATAGCTGCCGGGCCACTCCCCGTAGTCGCAGTAGTTGCGTGCCAAAGGTTCCCTCACCAACCACGCGATATTCCTTTCACCCCGTCCCATCGTGCAGGCGCGCCTAGTGCCATGACGTCTTTCTGAGATGTCTGCTAGCCATCGCAAACCTCCTCTACCACTGACCTGGAGGCCGCGATGTCGCTTACGCCCTCCAATCCCCGGATGATGAGCCCAGCCATCGGCTCCGGCATCAAGCTCAATCCCTCTCCATCCCCATTCTTCAAGACCACCCCGCGCTCGCCCGTCAAGGCTGGACGTGCCGAAGCCAGTCTTGCATTGCGCCAAGTCATTGGGACCACGACAAACTCGGCCAATGCCTTCGACAGCCTGCCGTCGGGGAGCAGCTTTGGTTACACGGCGGGTGCTGCCGCTGTCATTGCGTGCATAGACGCCCAAGGGCACGTCACCCAGCGTTTCTACCGCGCACGACCTACTACAAATCCCATCAATCCCTCGGCATCCATATACGGCGGGCCCTCGACACCCACTCAGAACGAGAGCCGCAACCGCACTGCCGTCTCCCTGCGCGACGCTGGCTTCGGAGGCTCCCCTCTCCCGTCCCCTAGTGCCCACGACTGGGCAGATTCGCCGAGCAACAGAGCCTGGGGTACCAAAGACAAGATCAAGGCCGCAACCTGCGTCAGCTTCAGCCCTGATGGCAAATTCTTTGCTGTCGGAGAGGTGAGACACACATCCAGTTCACGCTGTATGATTCTAACACAGTCTAGACGGGTTACAAACCGCGCGTACTCATCTTCTCTGCCTCGTCAGATGCCGCCTCAGATACCCCACTCACCTCCCTCTCGGACCACACTTTCGGCGTCAACTGCGTAGCCTTCAGTCCCGATTCTCGCTTCCTTGCCAGCTTGGGCTCCGCCAACGATGGCTTTTTGTACATATGGCACATCAACTCCCGCACCGGAGCTGCTACGCTACATGCTAGCAACAAATGCGTCAGCCATATCAACCGAATGGCGTGGATGGGAAACAAGCTGGTGACTGTCGGTGTCCGACATGTCAAAGTTTGGAAGGTAGACGACCTCAATGCGACAATGCGCATCTCCAAGGCGCGTCAAAGCGATGTCTCGTTTCTCTCCGGCTCCACACACAAAACGCTACCAGGAAGGAATTGCATTCTAGAGAGCTTGAAAGAGTCGACATTCACAAGTGTGGTCGCCATAGCCCGAAACAAGGCCGTCGTAGCTTCTGACAAAGGGGATATATGTCTTATTGACGACACCGAATCCAATCATCGCTTCTCGAGATTGGTTGACGCCGGCTTTGCTGTAAGCTCTTTAGCTGTCGACGTGAAAGGGCGACTCCACGTTGCTGGTAGTCAAGGAGCACTCAAGACTTTCAACATCGAGGAGATGATTGGAAGGCTAACTCCTCCGCCCTCACCTCCACCGCGCGTTGAATCTCCCTCCACCTCGGTTACGGAATGCAATCAAATCGGCGTGATAGCCTGTCTCAAAGACTATCTCATCACTGTCGACACCCATCGAGCCATCCGATTGTCACAACTGTGTTCCGACGATGATGAAGGCGCTGTGGGTAATGTCGTCCACACCTTACCTGCGCATGGAAACGCTGTACTAGGAGTACATGCTGATCTCGCGCAACCGAACGTGTTCGAGGCTTCGTACTATACATGGGCTGCTGACGGTACGGTTATCTTCTGGAGTCAAGGGACGTTCAAGGGCTTGCTTCAAGTACAGCTTGAGCAGCTGGACGAACCTGATGCCGTCCCTAACGAGCTAAGGACAGTCCGTGCCTCCACTGATGGAGCTTTCCTCGTTGCTGGTGACAAATATGGTGTTCTACGTTTCATCGATTGCAACACTAAAACCTGCACGTTAGAGTTCAAGGCACATGCCAGCGAAATCACCAGCATTGCTATACATGAGGAGTCGGATATGACCCTCGTCGCGTGTGCCAGTCGAGATCGTACCGTTCAAGTGTTCACACGTTTAGAAGAAACCTGGGATCTACTGCAAACTCTGGACGAGCACGTAGGAGCAGTGAATGGAGTGTCTTTCTCTCGAAATGGCACGCGTCTAGTGTCGTCCTCAAGCGATCGAAGTCTGGTGGTCCGCGAACTTTTGTCTATCGAAGACGATCGTGGTACAACCCGAGCTTTTGTGATGTCACGAGCTATCATGTTAAAAGCGACGCCGGTGTCATCGGCCTGGGACATCGATCAGGACGATGCTCTCTTAGTCTCGACTATCGATCGCCAGGTACACAAATTTGACATTCGAACAGGTCAATTACTCAGCAACTTCCGTGCATGCGACACTGATGGTGGAGATGCAGTCGTTCTGTCTTCTTTGGTCCACATACCACGCAACTGGGGTGCTCCTCTAATTGCGGGTGTGTCAAGCACTGATAAATCGATACGCGTCTACGATGAAAGCGGCTCCCTGGTCGCTCGCGATTGGGGCCATACGGAGGGCGTTTCCGATATCGCGCTCGTAGAGACGCCTGAGCACGTAAGTGAAGAAACGAGCGAGAAGTCGCTAGTCACAGTTGCTGTGGATGGAACCATATTTGCATGGGCTCTGGCTTTGCAGCCTAATCGTCACGACGTCTCGAAGTCTATGGATTTGCTCGCCCCAAACACGCCTTCCAACCAGGATTTACTGTCTAGCAAGCCACCATTACGACGCGTCCTCTCGCAATCTGAAATGGCCCGTTTTCAACGCTCACCTGTAGAAGAAACACCACCGTCCAGCGGTAACAAATCACCAAAGCTGCGGAAAAAGGTATCCAAATTCTCCTTGGCCCCGACGCCGAAACTCGAACCGTCTCCTATAACCAGTAGTTCACGCGAAGGCCGGATAACAGCATGGCAAGGACAAGGCACAGGGCGCAAAAACAAGAACCGCTCTCCATCGCCACCTAGTCCCAGAAACCCGCAGCTTGGTAAACGCCGTGCATCAATAGATGCTAGAAACCGCACGAAGGCCCCTGTGAACGAATTTGGCAGCTTAGGAGCGTCGACAGAGAGCCTATGTAGAACGCTTCGAGCCTACAGGAAACGTCTAGCAAACACCAGCGATACTATGAGCCCGGAACTCGCAAAAGAGGTCGAGAGGGAGCTTGCCGCTACTGCCAGAGCGATTGGAGACAAGGTGAAAACCAAGGCCTTTGAGGAGACGGTCATGGTCAAGCTGCTGGATCAGTATTCAGAACGATTGGTAAACATGCTCGACGAGAAAATCGCAGCTAGCGTTGCACAACGGGTACGCGAGAGCAGCGTTGGTAACTTCTCGGACGGGGCAGATTCACCTGTTGTTGCCCAACACCCATCAAGGAGTAGAGCGGGTAGTGAAGACATAGGGAATCGTCGTACAGATGATTCTGAATCAGGTACCGAGATTCTGGTCTTGGAAACCACTGAGAAGTTGACGATGGAATGAAGGGGTTAGGGTAGGAAGGTGGACATGGGGGCGCAACTCGGTACGACTTGGGTATCCCGGATCAATTTCTTCAGGTGGTGTGGCTAAACTGGCGTTCAATGCATTGCATATTTAGAGCAAACGGCGTTTATGATAAGAAAGCTCGTGGCTGAGCATGACATGGCGCATGACGGAGGTTGGCTAGTTGGCCCCTGACAATATTACGTTAGTACTGTAGCATAAGACGTAATCATAGTCCTTAGTATCACTTTTTGCTTACTTGATCGTGTAATCTGGTGCGACTATACACCTCGGTATTGCGCCTTTGTTGCGTATCGTAATGTGGTCGTGATCTTCGCCAACTCCTTATAGAAACGCAGAACCTGGGTAGGACGGAAGGTTAGCGTGGCACAACTCGGCGCGCCTGGTTTATCTGGTCTTCATTCTCTACCTGTTCCCCTTTTTTTTCGGGAGTGCGCCATCTGAAGAACGATTTCTCCGGTGCGGACAAACGGATAGATCAAGAGCATGCAGCGTAGCATAGCCCGTGATGTGACATCATACCCGACGAAGCATGAGGCAACAGGTGGTGAGTGGCGAATACTACAGTGTACCCGGATGAGGACGTTTGGTACACTCATGACACATGAAGCATCTAATTATTCTTTCATGAAACGGTTTTTAAGGCACATCGACAGTTTAACGCGCATCATGTCACCTCCTGGTACTTCTCTATCCGCCACTTCGCGCCCATCGACCCCCTCGAGACCAGCGCGTCTAAATGACTACGTAGTCCTATCGCATCCACCCTGCACGCAAAAGGCATGTGTCGTCAAACCGATATCAATACAAGTCGAAGACGGGCCTGATGGCTCTGTATCAGGGATCCTCCACCTACCATCCACAATATCAGCCATATTAGCATCCAAGACAGCGGCTATACTCCTTTCTGGCGCAGGAGGCGATGTCGTAGGACCATCGGCTATCTATCATTCTCTAGCAGATAAACTAGCCTCGCTCAAGCAAGCCGTGCCGGCATTGCGACTCGACTATAGATATCCAGCACGCAACAAGTATTGCGTGAGAGACGTCCTAGCAGCCATGAAACAATTAGAAGAGCCTTACCAGATCGAGCGCTTTGTGCTGGTAGGTTGGTCTTTTGGTGGCGCTCCTGTGTTTACTATTGGTGGCCAAGATAAAAGAGTGGTCGGGTGTGTGACCGTCGCTAGTCAGACAGCAGAGACGGAGGGTATACGCTCACTTGCGCCGAAACCACTTCTACTCCTCCACGGTACAGGTGATCGAACGCTGAGTCCTTCGTGCTCGGAAAAACTATATCGTATGTATGGTACAGAAGGTGATAAAGAGTTGAAGCTTTTTGATCGAGACGATCATGCATTAACAAGATATTCTCTTGAGGCAGAGCAGCTCATTGGTGGGTTTGTGCTTCGTTGTGCTGGGTTAGATCCGCGGATCGATAAAGACGGTTTGGCAGAGAAGCTGGTGGGTGATGAAGAGAAGGTTGAGTTGATGGAGAAGGGGGGCGACTTACGACGAAACGAGAGCGTGGAATAAATACAGGCGAGATTGCGGAACGGATGGTTCCTAATTTACTCCTGAATAGGTGATTCGTATCTGGAGGTCGGCTAATAACCTATTGAGGTCAAAATAGATCAGGTTTACCACACGACTGCACAGCAACAAAGCGGACCCCTTAGTAGGGATCAAAAGAATGCGAGACCAACACCGTTGGATAAGCAGCTGCGTTCCTCTGCACGCAAAGACGACTGCACCGCAATAAAAGTTGGTTCTCGTGCTTAGCCGGAACGGCGATAACCCCGGTCCCATAGCAGCGTCAGGCGTCTAGCAGATGCACGATACCATGAGGAACATCAGGGCTCTTTGTTAGCCGGTTGGGTGATTGTACAACTCTAGTGAATCAAAATACTAACAGTGCTTTGGAAAGAGGAACAAAGTATTTTTTCATAAGAGGGGTGCGATCTTGCACCCTCTTTGTTGTATGTTAAGCAACCAAACGATCATGAAGTTCAACCTTGCAAATTGTCTTGTCCTCCCGGCTCTTGAAGCAACCGCCGCATACATTCTGCTTGCCAATACTTTCCCAGACACGTCTTTGAAGAAATACTGGCTCACGCTCACCATTCTCCATAACAGTATCCTCATCTTACACAAATGGTTCATATACCCTTTCTTCCTCAGTCCTCTATGCAATTTACCGCAGCCCAGAGGCTTTATACCACTCTTTGGCCATGGACGATTTCTCTTAAAAAAACACCAGCCGAGCCGAGACTGGCAAGTTCGCACGATGAGAACGGTACCGAACGATGGTATTATTCTCAGACGAGGATTCCTGCATACTACCAAACTCCTTCTGACGACGCCGGCGGCGCTAGCAGATGTCCTAGTGTATAAGTGCTATGATTTCGAAAAGCCGCGCGTTGGGGCTAATTTTATCAAGAGATTCCTGGGGGAAGGATTGTTGATGAGTGAAGGAGAGGAGCATGTGTGGCAGCGCAAAAGCATCATTCCTGCATTCCGTTTCCGACATATCAAGGAGTTATATCCGGTGTTTTGGGGGAAATCAATGGAGTTCTGCGCCGTGGTAAAGAGAGACCTTGGTGCGCAACCAGATAGTGTCTTGGACGTCTGTTACTATGCCACACGGGTTACGCTGGATATCATTGGTATTGCCGGAATGGGCAGAGATTTGGGGTCTCTGTATAATAAGGACGACGAGCTGGCAAAGAACTACCAGGAGATCCTTGAGCCGACACCCGAGAAGGTACTGTACTATCTTACCAACGTAATTTTACCACCATGGCTGGTGAGAAAGCTACCGTGGAGGTTGCATGAGAGGGTAACGGTTACGACTAGGAACTTGCGGAGGATTTGTTCGGAGTTTTTGGTAGAAAGGAAGATGAAGATCAGATGCGAGAAGGCCGAGGGTCGAGAAAGTCGCGATATCTTGTCCATCATGATTCGCGGTAACGACCAGACGGACAAGAACCTCGTGGACCAACTTCTTACCTTTGTCGCAGCAGGGTCAGTATACCCGATCTCCGAGTCGCCCTGACACAGAGCTAACCAAGACAGTCACGAAACCACATCCTCTGCACTGACATGGACTTCCTACCTGCTTGCCCAACACCCTGCCATTCAAGCTCGGCTCCGCTCCGAAATCCTTAAGTATATTCCCGATCCAGGCGTTCTGTCAAGCCCTGACTTCAATGTCGCCAGGCTTCTAGAGAGTATGCCGTATCTCAACTGTGTTTGCAACGAAGTTCTTCGACTTTTTCCCCCGGTACCTCTCACATCGCGCGTCGCTGTCAGGGACACGACAGTCTGCGGCCATTTCATACCCAGTGGCACCATGTTCTGGATTGTTCCGTGGGCAATTAATCGAAATCCGAAGCTTTGGGGACCAGACGCTGAAGACTTCATACCAGAGCGCTGGATGGATACGACGACTGGTCGCGCGACGATGAACGGTGGAGCGGAGAGCAACTACAGCTTCTTAACATTTCTGCATGGCCCGAGGGGCTGTATTGGAGAGAGGTTTGCGCGGGCCGAGATGAGGTCGCTTGTTGCGACATTCGTGGGTAACTTCGAGATGGAGCTGGCAGATCCTAACGAGGAGATTGTCATGGGTGGCACGCTGACCAGTAAACCGAGGAACGGTATGAAGCTCAGATTGAAGGATGTGAAGTGGGGGCCATAGCACTTCGATGGTTCCGTCCTTCTATTCAACCGCAACCGCTACTGTATCATGCTATGCTCCCGAAGTGGCAGGAGTAAATCGTCGTCAAGTGATGCAGGCAGGGGTTTGAATTTTATCTTGTTCTCGTCCAAACTACTACATGGTGACCTTGCCGCGGGGATATGGAATTGTTCAACCGATGCAAGCATCTTACGAGCTGCATACTAGTGCCGGTCGCAGGCTCAATAGAGACTAACAACAACTGCACGCCTTGAGTAAGATGGTGGTTGCATGTCAACCCCCAATTCGCTATTCCAAGTTCAGGCCCCGAATCCGAACCCGAAAACTCAGAACAGATTCCAAATAGATGGTGTAGAATTGCCAGATCTTTGCCCACAAGGGGTTGATGCGAAGTGGAGGTTCTCAAGGGCTTCTTCGGTGCGGCTAAAAACGGTGGGAGATACTGAATCGCAAGCACTGTCTGACAGAAATTGCGGGGAGGGCGCCACCAAGTGTGTACCAAGCACTGAAAATGGGAAGTGTCCGGTGACGCGATTGTAGTCTTCGTTCTTCTCTTAACTCGCTCGCAGGCTCACACCTAGGAATACTGAATTGTCGTATGGTGCACTTTCCGGTACCCGTTGCAAGTTGGCAACCGGCGGCAACGAAGGCGGAAGAGCGCAATAAGTGTGCCTAAGGAGCAACGAGCCAAAGGTGGCGTAGAGATCGTTACTGAAAGTATGCGACCATTGATGCGAGCATGTGAAGACGATGGTCGTAAATTAGTTACCGTGCGGGAGGAAGAGCGGATGTGTGTTCGACGCGGCCGACTAGCTGGTGTCATCCAAACTTTGGACGTCGGATCCCAGACACAGCTAGCTGTGCCGAGATTGAAATCTGACGATCTTCTCTCCAATCAGATCGACGTTGGCTAGAGCAAGATTCTGCGATGCATATTCAAGGTCTCATCATCTTCTTTTACGATGGCGTAGGGCTACTGACCAAGTCTACCGTATTTGCCGTATATTACTGTGCAACGCACACGAGTCGAAGCGAAGTGAGCGACAGCGAGGCGTTTCCAGATCGGCGCATGCGCGCTTGGATCGGCGTAAAGTTTTAGGTACTAAAATTGCCGCCTTGCGTACTGCCAAAGCGCTGTAAAGACGCGCGGAGGCGGCAGAAGATTCTCTACCCGATGCTGCGACACCGGGATTGAGGCACCTGCATCGCTGTGACCATCCGATAAATCTTCCAGATCAAAACACGAGTTCTTATTCGGCAACGAGTCGCATTCACAACGGGCATGTGGGTCTTTGGTGACAGACCCCACGTGCAAGGCTGATCCTGGCGAATTTACGATTGGCTGGCGTTACTATGGACGCCCAACGTCATGCATCGACTACAGATTTCATAAGGTTTGATACACTCAAGATGCAGGCCTTGAGTCAAATCAGTACTATACTTGTTCCGCCACGCGAGCAAGATGACGACGACCCAGGAATTCACTTACTGCAACGGATGAATGCGAATAGGCTTCGTTTACATTGAGTTACGGACCGAATGGCCCGACGTAATGCTCGCGTACATGTTTTCTCGACACGAGTTTCTAGGACACGACAAGAGGGTGTGAAGGTAGGATGTGGCCTAAAGCGACATTTGCCACGCTAAGCAGACTCGCTAGTCTATTCGAGTAAAGAGTGACAGCCGGGGTGAAGGATTAATGGTCGTCACAAGTAGCGATTCACCTGGATGTTATCTTGTGACATCGTTCCGCGGAGCCGAAACGTGCTTCAATCCCTCGAGGTGTTCCGGACTCAAAGTAAGAAAGGTGCTGTCGCGGTCCTGTATGTCGAGTCAGTATGCCCCGCAACACTACTGACACGTCCGATTGTGTTACAGTGCCAAAAAAAAATACCAACTAAAGCCAATGACCCACGACAGTACGAATGATGTGCTTCCATAATGGCTGGGTAAGCATTACGTGGTCCAGCTGTACTCTTTTTCCCATGCGGGGTGTTCGTACCTGTCACGAAAAAGTGACTATATGACCACATGCAGTAATAGATCCTGTCTGCCTGCCGATCTGCTTTCCCGCGTCACGTAGGATCCTGGTTCGTGGCAATACCAGTACAGTAGACGTTGGTAGCCGCATAAGAAGTGCCCCGATTACAGCGTTGAGGAAGGCGAAGTCCTAATTAGGCATCCTAGTGAACAGGCGGCTGCATAGCATGTGGTTGGGCCCGGGGGTAGCCAGCGTCTTGATTATGCAATTGCCGAATCCCGATGGTATTGAATCGATGCCAGTTGGCTCCACGGTCTTCATTGAGCACGTATATTAGGAAAAGGTTGACATCAGCCCACAATAATTATTCATGGCAAGATGTAGGAGCCAGGGCCAGGGCTACAGTAATCGCGCTTATTGGCTGCGGTGAAGGGTTCCGTTGAAATTTCCGAACGAGCTGTGAAGAATCACAAACTCTAGCTCAATAGACATCCAGCAGTAACCAGGGCCATATGTGCCCACCCCAGGATCCAGCAGGCTCTTATGGATAACCTTCCATGCCCAAGTTTGGATTGATGGCGTTCGCTAGGTCGAGCCCGCACGCGATTGAAGTTGATTTCGGGTAGCCGACGTAATCTGGGGTTCTCGGATTATCCGCTTTGTTGCCGCGTCGCCTTCATCTACCCTGGACCAACGTTTGGTCTTTTGAACAACAATTCCACGTCGATCCACGGTACATTGTCCTGAATCATGGCATCGAACACCCCCGAGCATCATTATTCGACGAGTTATGGAGTGTCCTTGCCTGGGCAAGGGAAAGTTGCAATTCCACGATTGCAAAGACTTGAACAAAGACAGGGTGGACAGAAAGACAGACGTCGAGTTCCACGGGCCTGTACCGGAGTAAGTCTGAATCGCGCACGGGTGTCTAACGGCAGCGATTGGTAACCGGTTTTATACGCCTTGTAGTAATACCAGGCGTGTTCTTCATCCGATAGGCTGGCATCATTATGATTTGGTACGAGTTCTAATGGTGGCACATTTAGTGTCGCTCCCACAAGATCAAATGCACTGGCGAGAAGCCAAGGTGTAAGCATTGCGCGACGACGAATCGCGAGTGCGTCTACATCCTGCCTCGGAAAGACCGTCTGAAGATGTCTGTCCAGTCCTTAGCCTATCACCTTTCCATTGCTGACGACTAAAGCGTCACCGAACAATGCCACCAATTAGCAGAGTTTCTTAAGGATATAAGAGACCGTGTAAGCGCCGAAGATGGGGACCGCATTACTGACATCCTGGACGAGGTGAGTTTGTTTCAAATCGCTATCACGCAAGGAGTAACGTTGGAACACTCACACGGGTCAGATCGATGAGGACTTGTCAGAAAACAGGCTCACCCCGACTCCAACACCATCGCATCTTGACGTGGACGATAGGCGTGGCTCACAAGAAAGCGGAGAACTCAGTGGTACTGAATACTTCGAGCATCATGAGGCCGAAGCCCTGGACTTCCTGGATGAAGATTTGCATAGCAAAGACGAGGCCCGATCAACGGGATTCGTTGGAAAGAGTTCAGAGGTACAATGGTTGCGTGCAGTGGTCCTAGCCCAGCACGAAAGAACGGATACAGAGTGGCCTGGATCCGAGTCTCAATGCCGCCCTTCGATTGCTCCAGGTAGCGAGCAGATAAGTTCGTTTAGCTTCTGGGCTGACTGTGACGATGTGAGTGTCAATTTCTACGTGGACCCATACGAACTGCCCCAACCCGACTTTGCTGAGCATTTGATACGATGCTATATGCTCAGGGTGCACGACTCCTTCCCAATTCTGCCACGAAACTTCGAGGAACAAACTCGCATGTATTTCACGGCTTTGCGTGCGGGGAATGCCCCACATCTCAACCTCAAGTGGCAGGCCATCTTGAATCTTGTCTTCGCCGTTGGTGCAAATTATTCGTACCTTTACAATAAGGACTGGCCGACAGGAGACGCCAATGTGTTCCAAGCCAGGGCACGGGCGTTTGGTTTGAACGAAGCTTCTCTGACTACTCATGCTGATGTGCCGCGAATCCAAGGCTTGGGTCTTCTCGCGTTTTACTGGCTAAGTATCGGACAAGTTAGTCGGTGAGTTTCACTCAACACTTAGATACCGTTCGAAGGACAAGTTTTCTGACCATTGTAGGGCTTGGACGCTTGTTGGGGTAGCTCTTCGGTCAGCCTTTTCCCTCGGCCTTCACGTACGGAACGAAGATCCTTCCGCAAGCGCCTCTAAACGACAAACTTTGGTACAAACGTGGTGGAGCTTATACTCTCTCGAAAGAACGCTGAGTATCATTACCGGTAGGCCTAGCATTATCGTGGATTCTTGCTGTTCAGTGCCGTTGCCCGTGGCAGTGTCGGAGGAACATCCAGCGGGGGAAATGGAGGCGGCACACAGCATGCGTACGACGAACGCATCGTCGTCAACATCCGCCATATTTTCCAGCTCTTCGAACATCGCTTCAAACGCTTCTCAAATATTGATACGACCCAGAGGAACACACGTCAACTCGGGGCTGTATTTCAGAGCCGTCGTTCAATTATCCATCATAACCCAGAACATTCTTACGTCCCTTTACTCCGCGGGTACGATGATCCGGTCGCCAATCGATATTCAACAGGATGCCTCTCTCTTGAGCCAACGTCTCGATCAGTGGGCTTCATCGTTACCCCAGGAAATAAGACCAGATGAACCGTTGCGCAAAACACTTCACGTGTCCGGCCGCGAGCGCATGTTGCTTCGGTTCCAACTCTGCAGCGCACGAATACTGCTCACACGTCCATGTCTGACTGCCAGGCGGCGACCGTGGAGGGATGCAAATGATGCAAGCTTTTCGAGACGCATGGCGGACAGCTGTATCGAGGCTGCAAGTACGATTGTTGCTTCACTTCCAGATGAGTATAGTCCTCAGCTATATGAGCAGTGCCCTTGGTGGTGCCTTGTGCACCATATCATGCAAGCTATCTCTGTTTGTCTTCTTGGCCTTTCACATCCCACATCTACATCCTGTGAGGCAGCGAAGATGATCCATTGTGTTACGACGGCGATCCGCTGGCTACAGATGATGAAGGGCCCGGTGGCAGAGCGTGCGCATCGCATAGCTTTGAGTTGTTTTGAGGGTTTGGCCAGACGGTACGCTGTCGACATTTCGGGTCTCTGGAACCGGAGGGAGCTTCCGGTGGTGCAACAGCCGGTATCCAATACCCCTGCAGAAGTACATCAACCGACGCACGAGTTCTTCTTGTTTTGAGCTCTCTATCTCCAAATGAGGTGGGGAACGTCTAGTAAGAGGTAGGGCAGGCACATACATGTAATTGAAAGCGATCTTTCCCAATAGAAGTGATAGAAGTCGGGCTTGCTGCTGTCCAAGGTAGCCATGTTCCTGAACTATGAAACGTATCAGCCGCTGCAACGGGCAGTGCCCCTCACACGCGCAAGGGAGGTAGCGGGCAGCGCAGGATACAGATATCCGATAAAAGTGTTGTCTCCATGAGCAGTGGTACCACTGGTAGTGTTGGTGAATACGACGTTTAGCGAAGGAAAGCAGGAGAAAGGCACGCACGGAACATCACGCAACGGGAGCACATGCATGTATTATATCCTATGTTTACGCCCTCACGCAACTCTACAAGCGAAGCTTCGTTTCGAACGCGATCGGCATTTGGCACCGAAACGACTCGGGAGTTGGATCCGCCTTTACCCTAGCTTTGGCGACCAACCGTTGCCGCGGGAGGTATAATAAAGCCTCACAACTTGTGGCACTCCTGACCTATACTGGATAATACTGCAGCTGACAGTGCCCGGAGTGGAATCCTGCAGCGACTATGGATTCAAAAGGCTCTAATCCTGACTCGGACGTGCATAACCATATGTCGGGTCGTGTACCCAGGCTTTGTCTGGTCTCCAGTTGGTGTTCTCTGTGAGCACTCTGCAGGCGGGTCCAATAGCAGAAGATGGTGATTGGCCTCTAAGCCCCATATCAGTCCATGTATTTAATCCTTCGTATCTAATACTCTGAGCGTGGTAGTGGATCCAGGGTAATTGGATGCGGCCGCGGGAGTTGTTCTTGCTACAAGTGACGAGGTTAGTGTTGATGCTGCTTCTCTGTATATCCTGGAATGCAATACAAGAAGCTAGCTTGACAGGGTAAGCGACTATGACTAGTGTATCTTTCCTGAACGGTGTGGAGGAAGCACGCAAAGGGATGCCGGTGCTCAACTCTTGCATGACCGCAGAGCCGAGCCTGCAATTTCTCGGTCTTTGCAACATCGCGCCTGTATGTAGGTTCTCTGGGTGCGCAAGCGTCTTCTCCTAGGAGCATGCGCATACCGCGCGTAAGAATGGCGCTCATGCCGCGCTCTTGACTCGTGTTTGTAGATTGGAAAAAAAAAAGTCTTGTGAGCTTGGACTGCAGGTAGGGCGTAATCCGAAGAACTGCAGCTGGATGTGTTTATGAGCAGGCGGGCCAATGAAGGTAAAGTCCTACGCTTGAATTATGTTGGTGCCTATGAATGGTGCCTATGAAACCACAAAGCAAGACCTTGTGCAGGCTGAGAAAAGTGTGAATTGCTGCCTAGCTCCACCTTCATCGCACTGCAGCCTTGCCATTGGTTGGAAACGCCTTTGCCGGCGTGAACCCGCTGTTAGGCGGACGTGCACGGTCATGTGACTCTAGTGCGCCAAGTCTCTAGCGCTTCTGCTGGCAGTACTTAAACTCGCGCCCCCTCGTCCTCCTTTCTCGTCTGCATCCAAGTGCTCGGGCTTTACGCTTACCAGTGAGGATTCGTCCGAGGTAGCGTTTTTGCTAGTTGAAAACTACAACTATGACCGCTCCAGTTGGCCTTAGGGTCGGCTGGGAATTTTTGACACCCATTGCTAGCTTTGCGCTGCTTTTCGTTGATTTTTGCGGCGTGCCGCTTGATTGAAGAAGAGTTTGTCGGCGCCCGAACCACCACCACTACCACCTGCGCATTCACTCGTCTTGACAAGACTTCCTTAGTCCTGTATGCTGAAGCCGACCTGACCGATAATGCCGCTGTTCTTGCCAGCTTGCACGCTCTGAGGCTATGCTAGGCACCAGCTTCCCTGATGTCCCACTTAAGTGTGCGCCCCTCTCCCTCGTCCTTCCGCGCTGAAAGTACTCGTCGCTTACGGACAGTCAGCATCCTAGCCAACACAACCCATGTCGCTAGTCTGGCTGCTGCGTTGTATCACCATCGTTGGCCGCTCCTCGGCAGGCATGCCCGCGCTTTTACACACTCGCACCGGATACCCACCAAGGGCCATACCAACGATAAGCACAAAGTGGGCGTGTATCAGTACTGCCCTTGGACTACGCAGTGTCCGTTACCGGCATGGCATCGGCGTTGCTCTTGCTTTGCGTGTGAATTACGTGTCGCACCCACCGATACTACCACACGACGATCCTTCAGGCGGCTCTCGACAATCCTCCATTGAGTCATAAGAAAAAGCACCCAAGCTTTTCGCAAGGAAAGTGTTTATCTATGTACCCCACAAATAGGTACTACCGGGTAGATCCATGGCCATATGCTTGTGACCATCACGAACATCGTACATATCGAAGATCTGTAACCTTTTTCGGAGGCCGCAAAACGCGGACAAAATTGCCGTCTTCGTTTCTAGGCTTCCGTGATAGATCCAACTCTTTTGGCTATGCACGACCTCTGTACAGCTGCTCTATAGATCGATCCCTTGCTGATTGCAAAGATCTTTTTGACAGTGTGATAGGAAAGTATCTTTCCGCCAGATCAAACCGAGGGCCAGTCGTCTTCGAAACGTCAACGCCGAGCTCGCCACACTACGGAAGCTTACTGTCCTCGTTCTCGTTCTCGCTCCCTTCGCTCTTCACCCTGACAGCGCTTTTTACTCCACCAGCCTTACACAGACGTTAAGGCGCTGCAACTATATCGCAATGTTACGGCTACAATTGGGACCGAGCCTTATTCGGAACTTTGCGGACGTGGGCGGCCATGGGAAGATGCGTCTACTTGCTCGCTTGAAAGTCCGGTCGTCCCAACGGTTGCATCGTTCCTGTTCAATACACGTGTCGCCTGAATCGTGAGAGACACTGACCGTCCGAAGATGCAAAGAAGGTTGTGAGCCAAGAAAGTTCGTAGTCGGCCAAACTCAACCTACGTCTGAGGCCGGTAAGAGCCGTATATCACGCACAGCGTGACTCGGATGTGTGATCGAATAACCGAATATCAGCCACAGTCGTTCCCTGCCTGCCGAAGAGCAAAACAAGCTCCAAATTGCCGAAGCTAGTCGCGTGATCTTTTAGTTTTGTACGGTACCGAAGGAGGTCAACTACCCATCAATATCGTCTATTTCCGCCAAATCTACCAAGATGGTGAGGAATAGCCACAAGCTGCCTTGAAAGAAAACGCTATATGGTGGGGAGCGCGCCGATAGCTCTAGGGTCGTTTCAGACCCGTAAGAAAGACATCAAGGTTTCGGTGCACGGTCTGCGTTCGGCTAGATCTGCAGCAGGGTCATTAGCCTTGCGCCATCCTACGCGAACTGCTACACCTCCAGTACGGGACATGCAGGTACGCGGTCTCTGCTTTCTTGCATGCAAGACTCGCGCGCGACAGACGTTGCAATCACAAGCCACAGAACAAAGTCATCACATGACATGTTCACACATGTACGACACTCTTCAGGCTTTCGAAACGGATCTGTCAAAAGCGGCATCTAGTCAATGACATGCGACATCAACAGTTCCGTAGCACCGCCTCAGCCATGCTAACCTAGAACTAAGCTAACCCGGTGGCCTCCTAACGGTGGCTGCCACGAGTTGACCCTAAGGGTATAGTTGTGACATTATACCCCCCTTCTTCGACTATTTTCGCACGTTCTCTGCCAAACCTGGTGCCTGGCCAGTTACCACAAGGCGCCATTAGGCCAGTGCCCTGCGGGATCTGCATACTGCGACTATCGTCACGTATGAGACGGTCTTCTTTGTAGGAACGTGCCCATGGTGGGGGGAGTCCACGCGATATTGGTCCTGTTCGCGCTTCCAAATGCAGCATAAACGTCGGGAAGCTGCGTCTCACTCTCAAGCTGTGCGGGGGTTAATGTCGTCCCACTTTCCTTACCAATGAGGACTTGTTCTTCCTGCAATCCCACGAGCCATATTCGCTAGCACTATTCGTTCCCGAGGCTGGCTCAGTCTTGTACTGTACTACTGACCTCGCACGGCATCTCCTAACACGATCAGCTTGCGAACATCCTAATTCTCCATTTTCTCCGCATTACCCAATATGAAGGCTTGAGCCATGCGAGTCTTCGCAGGTCCTACGTCTCGACTTTCTTCTCCTTTCTGTTCTGTCGACTCGTCCATCTAATACTAAGGCCATCATGGATCTCGACAGCTCTACGCCCGCTGGTACCCGGGTTAATATCATTGTACTTGCTTTCACACTAGTTTCTGGTCTCATAGTGTTTCTACGTCTTTTTACACGATTGGTAATATCGAAGGGAGCCGGGCTTGAGGATGCGTGCATCGTGGTTGCTATGGTAGGTGAACCTGAATCACGAACTGTGCACTTCTAGCTGACCACGTACAGATTCTTTCCGTCGCACTTGCCGTGCTGACGGCGGAACAAGTAATGAATGGGTTGGGCGAACACAAGTCGCGGCTTGAAATCAATGAGCAGATTACTCTACGTACAGTAAGTTCCTCAACGCTTTTATCCTTCGACAGTGCCCTGTGCAAGTTACGCCGTATCTGCTGCAGGTACACAGCTTACGCTGACTGAGCAAACTTCATTCTCCATGCTTCCACAAGCTTTCAACTCACAAGAAGTTAGGCCTTCTGGGCAAGCGTCTGGGTTTACAACCTCACCCTTGCGGTCACAAAGGTCTCTATCCTCGTGCAATATCTCCGCATATTTCCTGTGCGAGGCTTCCGCATAGCTTGCTATGCTATGCTCAGTATCGTAATACTTTATGGGGGGTGGGCGACATTCTCGAGCGTGTTTATCTGCAGCCCCGTCGCCTTTTCATGGGATAAGTCCATCGATGATGGGCGTTGTGTGAATCAGCTCATCATATGGGTTGTAAACGCCGGTGTCAATATTGCACAAGACGTGGTTATCTTTCTCATGCCGCTATCCATTGTTAGGGCTCTTCATCTACCTAAATCGCAAAAAGAAGGCTTGGTGGCTGTGTTTGTGTTAGGTGCTAGGTGAGGTAGGACCAGACATTGCAAGGTCAACGAATGCTGACACCAATAGCGTCACGATGGTCTCTATCATACGGCTGTACACCCTAGATAATATCGCCAATTCAACCGACATATCGTTCGATAATGTGGATCATGCGACATTATCTGCAGTGGAAGTAAACGTCGGCATTATATGCGCTTGCATACCAGCTATGCGACCTCTTTTCGCTCTGCTGGCGCCGCATTACTTCTCAGCAGTGCCGCAATACACCAACGCTAGAATTCTCGATATCGAGCGCCAAAAACAGAGAACTGGTCGCCAAGGGAACACCCGACCTACTACGGCGACGCCCAGGACGAGACCGAACACGGCACGGACAACCATTATTCGTCCAACTACTGCTACTACTACTAGGACAAGACCCAGTACGGTGCGCACCACCATGGCTGGGCCGGGTACCGTCACCCATGTAACGAGACCCAGCACAGCACGAACAACGACGCGATCAAGCACTTCCCACACCCTCAAGCTCGAGACAACCATTCCGAGGGCCGACTCGGTGCAAAGCGACATCCCTCTTCAACCTCTTGTGCCAACGCTCTCTCGCACCCCAAGTGGTCGCTTCTCTGTCGCAAACAGTAGTCGTCCACCAACGCTACGTCTACCTAGCTACAACAATCACTCTCGCAATGCAAGCGGTAGTTCGCAAAGCACACAGAGCTCGACGCGAGGGCGATCTGCTACACGCTTTCAAGGAAGGCCTGATCCTCTGCGCATGTCACCCATCACACCATTCAGCCCTCCATGGCCCGCCCCGTTGCGAACGGGATCGCCGTTGGCCTTGGGTTCCCACACCCGACACCCGAGCAGCCAGAGGGCGCCTTCTCCATTACCGCCACGAACACCTGGAGCTGACAAGCAGCTACCACTCACGCCTTTCCCAGTCGGCTCAGTAGACTGAATAGCCTCTAGCTGACCTCTCGGCAGAACAACTTAATCGGATGCCTACACCCATCAGCCTTAATAATACGCTCGTTACAAATACCAAATCCGCAGGATATGTTCTCTCCTGACCCAAGAACAAGACTGAATAGCTTCCGAAGATATGAAGCACAGCTGCTTCGGGTACGCCAACGGCACAGGCTTTGCACGACCAGATCGGAGGTCATTCTCGATCACGACATGCCTCTATCACATTCGTCGTATTACCATACCATGTGTATATAACGACACATGCAACCCTAGAGGTCTTAGTCGTGTGGACAGACGGCATTCGCCTTTCGATGCGGAATTAGTCCACTGAGTTCACGCGTCCTTTCCTTTACACACTCTTATCGTTCAATAATGGGAAAGCTGAGAAGGTCACATGTGTTGTCACCCCTTAGACGAGGCTCATAGCAAGACCCCGCCATTCTTTCCATGTTTCTTATGCTTCGCTCTGCGACACATTTCAGATACACTTTCCTTCAGGTTCACTCTAGGCTTGGAGTCTTCGCTGTCACAACGGGTTTCTTCTCACAGCAACGTTTTTCCTGGGCGATTTACAGCATGTATCTTCCTTTCGGAACGCATAACAATTTCCGGGTTGTTTGAGTTAATTGTAATAGCTCCTGGCTGGGAACGAGCTTCGCGTGCAGCCGGAATATGGCGGACGTTTGGGAGTAATGAGATGTAATGTAATACGCGTAAATTAGATACCTAATGTTTTAGTAAAATAATTAATGCGTATCAGCGCACATAACGTCACAGCAGAGTTGCAATTTATTGTACCCGTGATAAACGGCTGCCCCTTGAAACCGTTGAAGTGGATGCCATTTGATACCTAAGCCCTAGCTTCAACACCCATCCGCACAGCGTATTATACTCCAGACGCCAGGCGGAAAACGCTTCTCGAACGTGAGAACAATCATCTAAATTTGCTGTAAATGACAGCGATGATAAGCAGCACCAGAACAGTAATGATGGCAATCGTGATGATGCGGTTTGTAGCCATGCTAAATCACAAATCGTTAGCACTCTTGTCACCCATATCAAAAGGGCATCCATCTACACTCCACATCAACTGGAGTAGGAGACAGGTGGGAGTGGCAGGTACACATACCGTCTCGCCATGCCCCTCAACGTCTTGATGCTCCGATCAGTGTAGCTTTCACTCTCGAGCAGTCTCTCTCTTGTGTTTGTAATCTGCTCCCGCTGTCTGTGCAAGTCACTTAACGTGCCTGCGCCAATCTGCTCCGTCTCCAGCGCGATTCTCTGGCTCTCCCTCAGCCTTCCACTCGACCGGTTCAGACGATCTGTTCCGGAGAGGAGTTGTTGGCGCTGCTCCAGCTGGGCATCGCCGCTCTCTGGGTCGTCGGTATAGCGGTTGCCGAAGAGTTTGGACTTGTCCGAGGTGTAGGTTTCTAGTTTGCGCTTGTGGGAGTCGAGGTCGTGTTCAAAGTTGCGGAAGCGCGCGTTGTATTTGGACTTTAGGTTTGCGGGGATGTTGGACTTTTCAAGGCGCATTTGACCAATCTGTCGCATGTCTATGTCAGCTGCTGTTGTTGTCCATAGGCGCGACATGAGTGTTTGGGCGACAACTCACCAGCTCCTCGGCTTCTTCCAGCGCGCGCTCTGCTCTGCTGATGGCGGCTTTCCTGGGCTCTCCGCTTGTCTCTTTGATCTGCTCTATTTGCTGGCTGAGGTCGGCCTGCACCAGCTTCAACTCGGCTTCATAGCCGCTGAAGCGCTCGGTGCCTGCATCTGCGTCGATGAGATTGGACATGGCTGCGATGTGGTATGGGCAGCACCGGCTCGGGTCGTGTAAGCTCGGCGATGTCTATGGTCCTGTGAATGCGAATAGCGACGTGGTTGGATATGTTTGTGAATGCAACGTCGAGTCTGGAGGCCGGAGTCCATGAGGCGCATTACGCACCTGCCAAGGTCATCCCTGCCGTGTCACGTGTGTCACTTCCGTTCTAGAACTGGGGTGCACGACACCACGAGTTCCTGTGCTCTAGTAACATCTCCACCTCTCCTTTGTTGCTTTGCCGATACGTCTGACGCTATCCTGTTGGCACAGTATACTGTCAGTTTCACTCCTGGTGCTGTCGCCGTCCTTACGTAGGTGGCGTCCTGGCCGTTCCAGTGCCGTGTGCACAACAGCCGTGTCACAGCATCCCCCAAGCGTCTCATATACTCAACACACCAGCAACATGCAAAGATGCAACACCGACTCCACAATAACTCTGATATTGCCATGGGTCAAGATCTGCGGTGCCCACATGAGAGCGGGCCCAACCCTAGGGCCAGTGACAGCGTGCAATGCCGTCGACTTCTTTGCCAGTCGCTGTGCTCCGGACATCAAGCTGAGAGTTTACGATATCTACAATGCCTACACTTTGAACGTGTTCGTTTTCCTTTGGTACTAGTCATGCACCCACTGAAACGACATCCGCTTCAGATCGATGACATCATGACTCGGAGCTCTGCGCAACTTCTTTTCTTTGCTCAATTTCTTTCGTCACTCTGGTGCGTCAACTCATATCGTGTACCTGGCCGTTAGTATACCCGCCACAGATACGCGCTAGTTGATCATGAGCGGCAAGATGGAAAAGAAGCGCATAGCCATCGTTGGTAGTGGCATATCTGGCCTGAGCGCCCTCTATGCACTCCGTAATACCCAGCATGAGGTGCATCTCTTCGAGAAAGAGGAACGTCTTGGTGGTCATACAAACACTGTGACATGGACGCACAATGGCAAGAGCACGCCCGTGGATACGGGCTTCATCGTTCTCAACACCGCTACATACCGTTCGTCTCCTGTCACAACTTGCGCCCGTGTTGTCTCGGTACTAACAAAGCCCAGCAAATTTCATAAAGTTTCTATCGGCTTTGCAAGTCAAGACTGTAGCCTCAGAGATGACCTTTGGGATATCTCGTGACGCTGGTGCTTTCGAATGGTCTGGCACGTCAGGCAGCTCGCTTTTTGCGCAACCTGAAAATGCACTCAAACCCTCGTTCTGGCGCATGATCTTCGACATCATTCGGTTCAATCAGTTTGCTCTGGATCTACTGGCCATCACTCCAGGCTCACCTGCAGCTGTCGCCGCTACAGAGATGAGCATTGGCGAGTATCTTGAAAGAGAAGGATATTCAGACGCGTTCAGAGACGATTATCTGATTCCAATGACTGCGTGTGTGTGGAGTACCGGCGCCGATAAGTGTGCTCTTGAGTTCCCGGCATTGACATTGGTACGGTTTATGTGGAATCACCACCTGCTCAGCACGATTGCAGAGAGACCGCCATGGTTGACCGTTGAAGGAGGATCTAGCAAATATATCGACGCTGTATTGGAGTTGGCTGGGAACTGTGAAGGCCATCTTGGTACACCGGTCCTGGCTGTGACTAGGAAAAGCGGAAAAGTGGAATTAAGGCTGGGTGGAAAAGGAGAGGGAAAGACGGAGGTATTCGATCAAGTGGTGCTTGCTTGTCACGGAGATCAGGCGAGGTGGATGCTAGGTGACGACGCGACAGTGGCAGAGAAGGAGATTATGGATGCATTCGAGACTACGCCGAATACAGCATATCTGCATTCCGATCTTTCAGTAAGTTTCAAATGTCCCATATATGCAAGTGTAGCTAACAATGTCTAGCTCATGCCCCAACGACGCACAGCTTGGTCCGCCTGGAACTATATCACCACATCCAAATCTAAAGCCCCATCGTACGCAAACCTGACCACTTCTTCGGGTGCTCTCGAGACCGTCTGCCTGACCTACGACATGAACACTCTGCAGCATATCCCGCGCGAAGTTTACAACAACGTACTTGTCACTCTCAATCCTCCACATCCTCCCTCTCCGGCTCTGACCCATGCAACCTACCAATACCGACATCCACTGTACAACTCCCGCATGGTATTTGCGCAAGATCGGCTCCATGAGATTCAAGGAAAGCAAGGTATCTGGTACGCAGGCGCATGGACGGGTTATGGCTTTCATGAGGATGGTTGTCGGAGTGGATTGCAGGTTGGAGAGGCATTAGGAGGTGATGCTGGGTGGGAGGTGATAGATGCCAAGTTCATGCGTGGAACGAAACCACTCCTTAAATGGAAAGATCACGTTGTGAGGTTAGTCATTACGTTGGTTCAGATGTGGGTCGGTATATTAGAAGGCTTTGCGGGTGTGAGGAGACCAAACGGTACGGCATTGAAGGCAAATGGGAAGAAAGAACTATAGCCCCATTATCAGCCAACTTCCTATACGTAGCAACCTCTCCCACTCCCGATCTACCACTTGGTCTTGTCCACCGATATCCACTGAACGTATCATGCCCACTTACTACCTGCGATGCAGTACGAGTTCTCTCGGCTCAGGTGTCAGCAAACCACTAGGCGCATCCGACAGCTCTTCCGAAAGCGGACTGGTGAAGCGCGTATGGTATTCGGCGGTAGTCTCTCGCTTGCGCTTCTTTTGCAAAGGGCTGAAGGCGAAAATGACAGTCTTCTTCCTCTTGGGTTTCTTAATAGTAGTCACAGTCCTGGCTGGCCTTGACGGAGTGACGGGAACGACGTCTTGCTCCGGAGTTTCCTTGCGCGGCATACGCTCAGGTTCAGGAGAACTCGGTGGGATCCAGACATAGCCGATCGGCAGACCACCTCTAAGCTCCGCATAATGGCTGAGTGGAGGGTCAAATTCGAGCTTCACCTCTTCTCTAGCATGCTCATGTGTATTTTTGGGCGCTTCGCTGAGGTCGAAGGAGGTGGGGACGTGGTAAGCATGGTCCCTAACAGTGTCTAGGAAAGCATCGTGTTGGGCTGGTGGCTCAGCTGCAAGGGCCTTGTAGTCGCCAATGTGCTGGTTGGCGTTGTTCTTAATGTTGAGGAGCTCGTACTCGTACTGGCCTTGGTACAGGTAGTCGAGGTATGGGCTTCTGATCATGCTGTGGCAGTTGCTTGTGGTGTTCTGAATTTGATTGTTAGTTTGTGATGCTCGAGAATGAAACTCTTAGAGGTTGGGCGAGGATGAGGTTGAGCAAGAAAACTGTCTCATTCGAAGACTTCTGTCATGGCACAGGGCTTGCCATATGCTCATAGTGAATGGTGAAGCATGCTAAAGTGTCTTCGAATTGTAGAGTGAGAGTGAGACATACCTCTCCAACTCAGGCCCATACCTCCCATCATTTACACTGACCATTCACTCTCCGCTGAGTTCCTCCTCACGTTGCTCGGGCGCCACACTTTTTGGTCTCGTCTTTCCATGGAGGCAGTGCGGCTACTCCTTGTAATTGAGACTGTTCTCGCCCGAGTCTTTGCATCGAGGTGTCGTTTGATATCGTTATCCCATCTCAGGTACTGCTGAAAAGCAGTGATGACGTGAGGCGACATGATGGGCATGATGCTGTGTTCGACTGACGAAGATCAAAAATGAACCTAACAATATGACGGTAGAGGAAGATGTATCGATCATTCTCAACGTGTGAAGTACAGGTTCAATTCTATATAGTCGCGTCCCCAGATTCGAGATCCACTCCAGACAACACACCGCTATGGGGAAGACATCACCGAGCGGTCTGCAAGAGATCATTGCATCCAAGTTTAGCCTTGTCAACAGCCTCAACGATCGCGCACGTACGATAGGAGTCATTCCGTGGGAGCACCCTCACGCGTGGGGCTCATGCTGCAGAGTCGACGTGAGACATAAGCGTTTGCATCCTTGGTGCAGCGCCCTGAACTTTCAAGAGCTATCATTGGTGCGGTCCTGCATTGAGATCTACGTTTCTGCAGGTCGAAGGATCTAGTGAGCGATCGTGATGGAGCTGAGGCTCAAGCGGTGAGTTTGATGGTTGGGCTGACACGTGTCTACGGATTGCCTATGCCGTTTTCGGGTAGGCGCAACCGGCGTCGCGTCGCGAAGCATTCTGTCGCGCACTTGTCACCTACCATCCCACTACGACTTCCATGGATAGGGCATCATCTCTCCACAGGTTATCTATACCATGTAGAGGACTCCGCGGCCGTACGCTTGATACGATGTTCCGCGCGATACGCGTTATGCCCTCCGCTACGTCCATGAGCCACTTATGCCTAGATCGAGCAATACCTCGCCGCGCAAGATTCCTATGCGGCCCTTTGCACAGCTGGCTAGTTACAGCCTATGACCGATTATGCTCTTTAGCAACCTTTAGCAAAGCAACAGAAGGTCGATTGAAAAAATGTGGCTGTTAGGGCTGATGCCCCGCAAACCAATCTACTTCATGGCACGGTCTGTGGGGTCAACTCGGTTACGCGGAAGATCATGCTGGAGTTCGCATCTGTCCTGTGTCATATACAGTCGTGTATGATACGCTCGCATGGTTTTTATGGCATACGGTGTGAATGTCCCTCAGGTTTGCGCTATCCTCCTTTCGCCACTATCTTCGCTTTCTTCTCATGGATTCTGTGCGGTTTTACTGAGAAGGGAGTGGACCCCAACAATTCGGGTTATCAGCCAACATATTCCCCTTCTGGACTGCCGAGTGATAACAGCGTGTGAGCTGGATGTCACTTATTCGATTCACGATTGCAGGGATCTGAAAGTTGATTCCAATGTGTTCGACAAAGCCCAAATGAACGCTGATCCATCAAACCCGGCACTTGCTCTGAACAGTACAGTACATTCGACAATCGTTCACATATATGAGGTGGGGCTAATGTAGTTTTCGAGCCAGGCATTGGTAGCACTCATGTTCTTATCGGTTGAAGCATGCAGCCGGAGTAATGAATTGCGCTGCGGCCCGTCCGTAGCGTTGTCTGTTACTTCCGTTCTGTTATGAAGAGTTGATGTTTCTCGAACACATAAGTCGGAGTAGCTCCTGCAAAAATATCTCTCTATACTTACCTGCAGCTCACGACAAAATAGCTCGAGATGCTTTTGAAGTCTCTTACCGCGTTGGCGTTCGTTGCCCCGACCCATGCTCTTATCCGGTTCGGTTGCTCGCAGCTCGTGGTAGACCGTCTTGATCCCTTGGTTGAGCCTGGAAACGCTCCGTCAGCTCATCTCCATCAGATCATTGGAGGAAACTCTTTCGTCCCTGATATGAGCCCGGATGTTCATGATCCACCAGCAATGTCCACCTGCACCACATGCCAGCCTGCAGACGATTTCTCTAACTACTGGACCGCTTCTCTTTATTTTCGCGCAAGGAACGGAACATATAAGCGCGTCAGTCAGAAAGGCAATGCAGGGTTCGAAGGTCAGAATGGTGGCATGGTGAGTCCCAAAAGCACAAACCAGATAAGGGACGTGTACTGACTGTTCCCGCCTATGAAGACCGTTTATTATATGCAGAACCAACTTGCCGACTACCAGCAGAAGGCGAAAGTGAAAGCTTTTCAACCGGGCTTTCGCATGCTAATCGGTTCACCAACCGCAACCACAAAATCGGAAGCGGATAGGTACCCACAACTCACGTACACATGTCTGCAAAACCCAGGCACCCGCTTTCCGGAGACTAAAGCGTTTCCTACCAAGCCCTGCCCCGCAGGCATCATGGTTAACTTGAGATTTCCAACGTGAGCAATGACATATCTCCTTGATGCCAGAGCCGTGCTGATTGTAGTAGCTGTTGGAATGGTAAAGATCTCGATTCACCAGACCACATGGCGCACATGGTAAAAGAAACCCCACCTCGCTTGGGATGGTGCCATCTAACGTACTGTAGGCCTATCCAGTATCTGGTACTTTTGAAAGCCAAGGCCCTTGTCCAACCTCCCATCCCGTGCGTATGCCTCAACTCATGTACGAAGTCATCTACGAAACCGCACCGTTCAACGACCCTTCGCTCTGGCCAGAAGACGGTAGCCAGCCCTTTGTCTACTCTTTCGGTGACCATACCGGGTACGGCAATCACGGCGACTATGTCTTCGGATGGAAGGACGACTCATTGCAGAAGATCATGGACGAAGAATGTTACGTTGGATGCTCGTCTATGAAAACACAAAGCATGGAGATGATGAACAACTGTAGCGTGCCGCGTAAGGTCGTCGAGGACATCGGTGATCAGGACTGGATCCCCGCGCTTCCAGGGCACTTGAACGCGACGCGGGCTGTTACTTCGACTTTCAAGGCATTTCGCGCGTAGATCACCCCCCTGTCATTCCTTTGTCTTACTATGCTTTTGTCGACAACGCAGAAACCAACTGGTCAGAGAAGCATCGACGGTCGCTCACATGATCACGCGTCAGCGAATTCAGTGTAATTGCTATTTCGATAGGTAGATCTTTCAGATCTCATTTACCAAAGAGTACTCCACATTTGTGTATCCGTTTTGCTTCTTCGTTGGGCGCCTCTTCCGCGAAGCCCCACTCACACCTGTGTGATGGTTAGTGCAACCCCACACACCCTTTTTCTAACGTGCAGTAGTTGCTGATGCTTACCGATTGGTCTGTGGAGGCTCAGTAGACTAAGCCATTCGTCACCCATGCCTTGTAGATATGAGAAGATCTTCAGGAGTAGCAGATACCGAAGCATGGCAAAACGCAGTTCACTACTTGAATGTGCTAGCCTGAAATCTACATTAGCCTTCCCATGTAAGCCACTTAAGCACCCTCGCGTGAGTACACGGGCGCTCTTCCTTTCCTTTCCTTTCTGATCGGCGTAACGAAGTTCGCTGCATCACAGTAAGCAATCGCATCGTCATACTCAACCCCATAGTGCACATGCTGCCTTGAATTCAAGCATCATGGCAGTATAACACACCGTCAACGGCATTGATAATCCAAGTGTTTGATCTATAAAGTAAGACCAGAATACAGCCGTACACAGCACACGTTTCGATGGTAGTAAGGGTGGGGTTCCAGCGGTACGTGCCGGGGGCGCACTTGCCAGGGGTCCAGGCAGTGGCGGCAGCGCCAAGAAAAGTGACCAAATGAGGATTCGCCAGAGCAGGGTGTGGATTTTGTTGCGACTGGTATCGTGAATTTTGAGTGTGTAGGGAGGGTGTCACAGATTGACTGAGCGCGAGAGTGTTTATGGCGAGAACCTACAGGAAGAGTGGGTTCTCGGAAGGGATTGTAAATGGGGACGAGGTTTCAAGGGTGCAGCGACATTGTATTTACAGCATGAAGCCTGGTCGCCAGATCAAATGACCAATCAGTCAAACACGGCGTCATTACAAGCCCTTTCCTCACTGCAAAAATATTATTGATACCTCGAGTGCATTCTGAGTAGTCAGCTTCTGACCCTTGTACGAGCATGTGAACTATTCGTACTAAACTCAAGTATCGATTGAACGATCTCTAATCACGATCATACGCAATGACCAATCGGCAGCCCTTCTGAAGACGCTGCTTTTATCATCTACCAAGGTAGCTATCTGACCTCTTCTCCCACACACCAGACAATGTCTCTCATGCTATATGTTGCTCGGCTCTCAGGAGGCTGCCTCTGTGTACTCGCTGCTGTGCCCAGATCCTAACCGAACAGAACGTGTAAATGAAGTGGGCGCAGCTGTCGAGAAGGCCATGACTTGCGCATATGGCGTCTGGCCCGGTCTACGGAACGGTGCATCGTCCCGCCGGTCGAACCATGGCATGCGAGTCTGTGACCACTCTGGCTGACGTTCTTCGTCGAACTGGACACCTAGTGGAGGGAACTGCGGAGATAGCGGAGCAGGCTCGTGCATCACAACGTGCTCTCCCCGCCTCGCTATGCGTTTCGGAGTTGTTGGTTCTTTGTGCTGCTCTGGTGTGGCGGGCAGCCTAATGAGTGGCCATGCGGTGTCGATCACTTGCGTGCTGGTTTTGGTCTCCTTTGCAAGACGTGTTCCTGCCTGCGATGCGTCGTGCGACATGTTGAGCTTCTCCAAGCGAAACTCGCTCACTGGAATTTCGCGCATGAACATATAACCATCCAGCGTACTCTCCTTGCACACTGTGATCAACCCCCGAAAACTGCAATCGATCAGGTCGCAATAGCGGCCGTGATATCCTATGCGGAGGCAATCGTTTAATGTACGCTGTAGTTCGGACAAGGCTACCGCTTGGGCGAGGGCGAAGGTGTGATAAATGCCGATAAGATTTACGATAAGTGGGGAATCTGGATCCAAGGAAGATCTATGATAATGGAGGACCTGGAACCCTATTCGGGGAATCTGGGAGAGCGGTTGTTCATCGGTATTTTCTATCAGGGTGATTGGCGTACGGCAGGCATGTTGAGGTTCCCGCCAGGAAGGTGCCATTTAGACGATGTGTAGAGCGAAGATGGAAGGAAATAGCATTAGGAGTAAAGTATTTGGATGATTAACAACTTGTTTGTCAAGGGCTGTTTTGCGTAAAACATGTTCGAAGAATGGAACGTCTCTAAGGGTCTCATTCACCATGAGTCTCCGTTTGCTCACCTCTCTTTTCCGAACACCATGATCAGAGGGAGATAGTCCGGCATGTGTGGACGACGTGCAGTAAATGGAGAATTGAAAGGAACACGAGAGATGAACAGAAGTTCAAAGTTATGCAAATCCATGCTCTTCTGATCACAACACGCCATCGCCATTGGAAATCGACATGACCATTGTTTGTCGAATAATCCGTTGCGAAAGGCATTTGTCGATTCTACGCTTCCGTGAGATATACACACCAGTGGTACTATCGTGATGTGACGATGATTTCTAGTCGTTCGCATCTTCTTCAGTCGTCGGATGCAACTGGTTAGCGTGGCAGATGTCACCGGATGTTCCTTCAATATAGATTCATCGACACGTTGCCATTGCCTCTATCGCTCAGCATTGACCCAACGTCCACCGAGCTGCGCACTCACCTTCATGGACTGCAACGCATAGACTCGGCTCGCGACCGATGTCTCTATTGCTAGACCAAACAGACGTACCCAGCTACCTACCTGTTTAATATATCGCTAGCGCCCACCAAGAACGCCAGGCGTACGGGATTGCATTTGTGTTTGTCAGCTCTTCAGCATACAAGCCGCTTGCCGTCAACTCCATAGCAGCTTCTGCAGCATCGGCCACAAAGCGGTCAGTCCTTCAAGTCGTGTGGAAGCTGGACCTAGGTCGAAAGGAAGCCCACGATCGTATGTGCGCACGGGACGGAGATGAGGGCATGGGATTCTGCAAAAGACGGGCCAGCGATATGCGCAATTCCCATGTGCCGCTCAGTGCACCAATCGCGTCACACGAGCTCACTTGTTGGAGGCGTCACGCTACATGCCAGTCTACGCGAACATCAGTTTTTCCCCTGAGCCTCCCGCTGTCATCGCGTACACATGCCCTCTTTCCGGTTATTCGTCTGTTGAAACGTTCGGTGCTGCGACATGGAAGTTCCTCAGGGAGGATGTTGCTGGTCGATAACGTTTGAGGGATACCGAGCAGCGGGGTACAGAAACTTACACCATAAGCTTTTGGTATACAGTCGATTAGCAAAGATATACGACAGCAATCCTGGCTTGAGCCCATCTTATCGGTACAACAGAAAGCATTTGCTAGATCTAGGGCTTCGGAAGTAATAGCGAGGACGTTGCACGGGAAGAAGAAAGAAACAACTCCATGCAAACACATCCCGTTCGCGGGCTGGATGCACAGGGTCCAATGCGTCGAGGTACAAGCCACGCGTAGCTCACATCGCGTCAATTTCCCAACCTGTGGGTTGAGTCCAATCGGCGAGGCCAAAGCGCGTGCCGCTAGAAGCAGCCTAGATCTTAGCATCGAAAGTCCCACTGATTGGGGGCTGTTGGCCTGAGCGATTTGACAAATTTGACCGGCCAAATGCGTAGCGGGCTGCGCGATGTTAACGAGGTTTGAGATCATATTTTGAAAGTTTGCGATGGCGAGTATCGTAGGACGCGTACAAAGTTGCTACTGCAGATCATGTCTCACATACCTTGATTAGGAAATCCCTGAAGATGTGAATCCGCTTTTGGCAGTGACCGATTGCGACTCAGTGTCAAAGTTCTGAAATTCTAAAGTTTCGGCGGATCTAAGCTCTAGCGCTACATCTCTACCATCGTACGGCATATACGAAGCGTTGGAGCTAGCAGCCCAGCACCAACGCGCAACACAAGGGACCCACGATTGGGGCTTGCTACAGATAGTTTCGCATCTCGTACGCTTGTTCGTAGCCACATAATCGATCAACATTCCGCGGGGACAGGGTTTGACTTTCGGCTATCCTCAGAACCTGGTGCTGGCATCGCAAGTGTTGAGACGTGGTGTCCACGATTCATCTTTGACGTCGACGGGTGTCGGCAGAAAAGGCCCTTCAGGCATCGCCGAAGATGATGCTGTTTATAGGGGTAGAGTAGAATATAGGATTCGCGCGACATATTCCACCGAGTAATACCCCTTTGTCTCTATCAGCCTGGCACCAAATGAGTCCGGACTTTGAGGTTCCAAGGACCTGGCCATGGTGGCGTTTTCCCCCATCTCGGTTGTAGCTTGGGTATGTCGTAGGCGGCACATTTGCTTCTGCCGTTGCTGCATACCAGATTGGCAGCGAGCTGGGATCCGATCAGCTCTGCTTTTGCCTTATCCACCGGTTCAACGTTATCGCAATGACTCGCAAGCCACAAGACGACTCTAAGTGGTGAGAGTGCGAAGCAAACTTTTTGTTGATGAGGTGTTGCAGAATGGCCAGGCTTAAGCGAAGCAGTGGTCGCATAGTTTGGTACGCGTGGTGACGATTCGAGGCCGAGCGCGACGCGGGCAAAGGCTGCATGCGCGCATCCTGACCGCTAATCCCGACGATGACGGCTGCCGATTGGAGTGTTGGCGTTCGTTTGCTGCTGGCATTATGCATGCACTGTCGATCGCGTACAATTATGAAAATCGTGGCTGTCTAAAAGAACATTGTGGCTGTCTGAGAGAACGTCACTCCGCGTTTTTGTAGCTTTTGCAGCTTCTCAAAGTAGCATCGTGATTGTCGCTCGCTTCGGTTCTCCACCCGCACTTGCGAACGTTGAGGTATCTCTTGCATCACTAGAACACCAAGACATTCTGACAAGGTGGGTGTGTCGAGTCTTCATTTCCCAACGGCTGCATCGCAATGTGACATTTGACCGTCGGCGCCATGGTGTGTTTTACACAGCCAGAAGGTTGGTAAACCGGGTAGAGATTTGCAATTGTGGTAGGGGGCTAGTCCGGGTCCAGACGATCGACACGGGTCCTGCCCAGATTACCGACTCCTCACGGCGCGTGGCACTAGTGCATATCTTCATGTCCCGGTATGCTAGTCTCTGCCATCTGTCGCGGTGCTGCAGTCTACGCTTGCTGTGGGGCGCGCCTACTCGTCGGCGACCTCGAGGATCCCATGTGCAACCAGGCGTTGACGACCCCACGCTATAGCCGACTCTCATTTGGGCAAATGCCCGTACGCGGCAGGAAGCAGTAGAGGTGGAGAGCCATGTGCCTGTCACGAATGAAGCGCCATGCCGAGAGTCGGGTATAAACACCCCATATCTCTACATACTTGACCTCTCGAGACGCACGGCGCAAACTTCCTCTACCTCCATTCCACTTTTTGTTCGCCATCACTAGTCAGGTCCGCGCTACGACCTGTCTTACACAAAGGTCGTCTCTGTGCGCAACTACTGGACGGCTACCCCAATAGCTCTCTTCCAGTCTTCCCTTAGCTTGGACCCGGTACTCCACTCGCCCCATCGATCGAGTAGGTATATAGCATTCCATCTCTACGCGCGGCTCGGTGCGTGTAGACGGTTGCTCTTGCCTATCACCTACAAACGACCACGCGACTTGACAAGCGTTGTCGTCACTGCCCCGCAACATCACCACGTTCCTTCTTGATCAGACCCTGACGCTAGAGGCTGCTCAATATGGTCTACTCACTGTCCTATCGCCGTCCTGAACGTGTGCCTCGTCCTGGCACTGCCTCGACCAACTCGAGTGAACATCAGCGAAGGTCGATCCATGAATCAGTCAATTCTGGCAGCAGCGGCATGTCCAACGGTATTCCCGAGGCCTTGTCCTTTGACACCATCATCGCAGGCGGTGCTTGCCCTGTAAGTGCCCACTCTTCTCCGCATCACCTTCACGAGGAGCAATGCTGACTCTTGCCAGCCCTGCACGGTCCGTGACTTTATGAACTTCCTCAAATACATTGAGCTGTCGGCAGAGAATCTGCAATTCTTCCTCTGGTACCGCGACTACGTCAAGCGCTTCAATGCGCTACCAGAAAGCGAGAGGGTTCTGTCTCCCGAGTGGACTGGCGAAAAGAACTCTGACGCCAAAAACGTCCCAGCAAACTTCAATGCCGACGCTGCAGCCATCTTGCAAGGAACCGACTTCGCCAACGAGGGCAAGGTCGCTGAATCGGAGAAGGGCAGCAACAACCCCTTCTTCACCCCACCTCGTACACCTACCAGTGTCGAGCCTGCTGGGCGCGAGTATTCTCTTGACTCGTACGATGAGAGCATGACCACCGGCAAAGTTGATCACACTCAACGTGCTGCTGGTGCGTTTGACAACGCAGGACTAAAGTGGAAACCACGTGAGTATAACCTTTGCTAATCTCCTCTCTTCTCTAGTGTCCAATCGCTCATCCGCCACAGTATCTGTCCAGCCCTACCGAGAAGAGATCAATCGCATAATCTCCATCTACATTGCCGACAATGGTTCGCGCCAACTAAATCTCTCATCAAAAGAGCGCACAGCACTGTTGCATGCTCTGCAGAACACGACACACCCGTCCGCATTCAGTGACATCATCACTACTGTCGAGTGGTCGCTCCGTTGCCAGGCGCACCCTAACTTCATCCGCTGGACTATTTGCAACGGCAACCGTCCTCGTGTCATCTTCGCTCGCGGCCTTGGTATCTTCGGTATCGTGG